ACACACGGTGGCTAGGCGGTCAGCTATGTAGTTATGCAGGAAGCACCACTTAACACTCGCCGCTCTAGAGGGTCAACTATGGTTTATGAAACACCACATTTTACGACAAGGGTTGCGTAGTCATCATTGTCTGTAGGGTTGCGTACTTTGTCAGGGGTATGCCGTTATCCATGAAAAGGGTTATATAATACAGGGGTAGGTTTTAGCGTTGTCAATTTTGACGACTATAAAAATATTCGGACTGTCACATCACACGAAAAAGTCGACGGACTTGGATGCTAGACGGTCGCAGCTTGGGCCATTTATTGCGGTCATATCTGACAGACCCATATGATACATATCGTTGTCAATTTCTCCTTTAAAATTCACAAATATTTAGGACACACCACTCATCACACATCTTGTCTAGACGGTCAGCTATGGCGTTATGCATGAAACACCAAATGATACATAGGTTGTTATTTTCATTAAAAAAATATATTTAGGACACATTACACGACACACACACACACACACAGCGGGACTAGGCGGTCAACTATGGTGTTAAGTATGAAATACCACATGAGACACATCTAGTTTCTCAGATGTGGAGTTAGGTATGAAACTGCACAAGTTGCATACACTTTGTCCAGACTAGCGGCTCTTCACTTTTATGGAATCAAGGCTGAAGAGTTCCCATATCAATAGTACCGAGCCAAGGGGTTAAAAAGCCATGGTTTCTAGATATTTGAATTAAACAAAATAATAATAATAATACCGCGACCCTTTACAACGAGTTCCCTTTGTCTTGGTGACCCCCTAACATATAATTCATTTTGTTGCTACTTCATAACATCTGTGAATATATGATTTTCGATAGTCGCAGGCTACCCATATGAAAGGGTCGTTGGACCCCCCTAAGGGCCGCCACACACAAGTTGAGAACTGCTGCTTCAGATGGTCAGCTATGGAGTCATGTAGGAAACACCACGCGACACACGCTGTGAAGGGGTCAGTTGTACAATATTATGCAATATCTGAATTCCAGAGAAATTTGAAATTTCTCTGGAATTCATTGTATTAGCTTGACTGCAGTCACCCCCATAGTTTAACCATTTATGCAATATCTGATCTTGTCAGGACTGGGTGGTGTAAATTTTCGGGTGCAGTCTTTCAAGAGAGTCTCAGAGGTAGTCGCTGGTACTGAATTCGTGCTTTATGTGACTTATAAAGATGGCGTATCCCTCAGCTCGAACAGATGAAGCCAGTGGAGTTTAAGAGGGAGTCTGGCTAGGTCGTGAGACTTTACTAAAGTTACTATGAATGTGAGAATGTGTATGAATAAGAGAGAAGGCTACCGAGGTTCAAGTCACAAGCCAGGTCAAATATGATACATATATTCATCATAACCGTGTGCACACACGCACGCACATACACACAGACACACACACACAAGATCTACCGTGGCTGCAGGTAGGTCCGGTGTAGTCCTGCTTGCAGCCGAAATAGCATGCGCCTGACTCGGGGTGGCACGACGAAGAGTCGGAATCGTTGGTCGGAACACAGTTTTCGCTACAGGCAGACCTGCAGTCTTGGCCATACTTTCCTATTTCGCAGTCTGAAATATAGTTTTACTTCATTGATATTCCATAGGGGAAGGACAAGATAAGATACCGCTGGAATTGAGACTTTGCGCTTGCTGTTGAAGATAGGGACAGAGCGCTTAGGAGAATGTCCCTAGTGCTGCAATATCGATTCTTAATTAAACATTAAACCCAGCATACGCACCAATCAAGGGCAAGTATAGCTAACCACAAACGATGTTATTATTAGTAAAACGTACTCTCGGAGTATAAATAAGTAATTCCATCCATGCAGGTTAAATCCAGCAGTTAGGATGCCTCGAAAGTGTGTTAACAGTGCAGACAACTTTTGTTAAATTTGCGGCAACGTAAAATTAGCTAGCCAGAAAAAGGTAATCACGGCATTACTAAAACGGCATATGACTATAATTATGAGAGATCGATTACTTAGAATGTAAGATCTATTATTTAGAATGTAAGATCTATTATTTAGAATGCAAGATATATTATTTAGAATGCAAGATCTATTATTTTGAATGCAAGATCTATTATTTTGAATGCAAGATCTATTATTTAGAATATAAGATCTATTATTTAGAATGCATGATCTATTTTTTAGAATGTAAGATCTAATTTTTAGAATGCAAGATCTATTATTTAGAGTGGAAGATCTATTGTTTAGAGTGCGAAATCTATTTTTAGAGTGCAAGGTCTATTATTTAGGGTGCAAGATTTATTATTTAGGATGCAAGATCTATTATTTAGAATGCAAGATCTATTATTTAGAATGCAAGATCTATTATTTAGAATGCAGGATCTATTATTTAGAATGCAAGATATACTATTTAGAATGCAAGATCCATTATTTAGAATGCAAGATCCATTATTTAGAATGCAAGATCTATTATTTAGAATGCAAGAACGGGGCTCAGGCAACACACACACGCTGCACTACTTGTGTGAGAAACCTTCAAGTGGATTAAGCAAGAACCTGTATCGATGTCGATCGCTGTTCCTATGGTTTGCAGAGAACCAGGCAATCACATACATGCATCCATCCATTCATCCATGCATCCATGCATGCAAGCATCCATGCATCCATGCATGCAAGCATCCATGCATCCATCCATCCATGCATGCATCCATGCATCCATCCACCCATGCATACATGCATCCATCCATCCATGCATACATGCATCCATGCATCCATCCATCCATCCACCCACCCACCCATTCATCCATCCATCCATCCATCCATCCATCCATCCATCCATCCATCCATCCATCCATCCATCCATGCATCCATCCATCCATGCATCCATCCATGCATCCATCCATGCATCCATCCATCCATCCATCCATCCATCCATCCATCCATCCATCCATCCATCCATCCATCCATCCATCCATCCATCCATCCATTCATCCATCCATCCATCCATCCATCCATACATACATGGGGGGGGGGGGGTCGCGTTAGCGCAGTCGATACGAGACTCGCTTTCAAATCCAGCTGCGACTCGCTGCAGCTCAAGGCCGGTGTTCGAAACCGGGCGGTTTCCTGGGTTCACCCAGCCTCTAGGTAATGGGTACCAGAGTTAACACTCTGGGGTAAACAGTGGAATGTCGCTGTAGCTACGGAGTTACGTGCGGACGGCGACACAGGCGGACAGTTTCTTATCAGCTGTCTGTACTGGTGACAGAGCACTTATGGTTTATAACCGTGTGCAATGACGCTGGTTTAAATCCCCTGACTTTCCCTTTATTTCTTATATATATATATATATATATATATATATATATATATATATATATATATATATATATATGTGTGTGTGTGTGTGTGTGTGTGTGTGTGTGTAGAAGGAAAACGTACAAACAATGCCATATACATCCTAAGGACATTGTCAGAAAGAGCTATAGAAGTAAAGACTGATTTGTACATATGCTTCATAGACTATACAAAAGCATTTGACTGTGTGAAGCATGAAGAAGTAATCAAACTGTTAGAAAAATTAAACATTGATGGGAAATTTATTTCTGAATAATAAAGAACATGTATTGGCAGCAAACAGCAGCTATAAGAATTAACAACTGTTTAGGTACATTTCAAAGCATAAAGAGGGGCGTACGACAAGGATGTGTACTGTCACCTGATTTGTTTTCAATATACAGTGAATATATAATGAGAGCTTTAATTGGTATGCCCGGAATTGTGGTTGGTGGGCACAATATAAACAATTTACGTTATGCTGATGACACAGTCTTGATAGCAACAAGTCAAAAAGAACTACAGGAAATGATAGACATTGTGGTGTTAGAAAGTGGAAAAATGGGGCAAAGTTTGAAAAATGGGAAGACAGAAGTAATGGTGGTATCAAAGAAATGAATTATTCCTAAGTGTGTAATAAATGTTAATGGTGTTATTTTATGACAAGTACAGAAATTTAAGTATCTGGGCACATGGATAACATCAGATGGAAGATGCATAAATGAGATAAGAAATAGAAAAGGACAGGCAAAAACTGCATTTTATAAAATGAAAAAACATCTTGTGCAATATATCCTTGTCATTGAGAGTTAGAAAAAGAATTCTTGCTTGCTATATACATCCAGTTTTAACATATGGCTTTGAATCCTGGACAATCGGTAGGCAGGCCAAACAATTTCTGGAGGCCGCGGAGATGTAATTTTACAGAAGAATGCTTAGAATACCTTGGACAGCCAAAAAGAGCAACCAAGAGGTTTTGAAAGAGGCGGGAGCCCGAAGACAACTTATCACAGACATCAGAAGGAGACAGTCATCATTTTTCGGCCATGTTATGAGAAGAGGGAAAATAGAACATGTTGTGACCACTGGAAAGATATGTGGAAGGAGAGTTAGAGGAAGACAATGAGAGAAGATGCTTGACAGTCTTGTTGCATGGCATGGAGGTGTGTTGACGAATTGATACATACTGCAGGAGATTGCAGATTATGGAGAGGCATGATCGCCCACGCCAGTCGGCAAGGCACCTGATGATGATGATGATGATATTTATATATATATATATATATATATATATATATATATATATATATATATATATATATATATATATACACACACGCATACGACAGACAGACAGACAGACAGACAGACAGACAGACACACACACACTCATACGACAGCCAGACAGACAGACAGACAGACAGACAGACAGACAGGCAGACAGACAGACGTATATTTGTGAGACATGATGTGGTTGTAAAGAGAAAATGACTGTAGAAAGAAGGACAAAGGCTTAAATAGAAAGTGAAGAAAAAACGTGTGGCTGTGAATGAACTGAGGGTGACTCAAATGGAAACAACGACCTTAACGGACGTGGGGTGGCTCAGAGACAGACTAAAGACGTTAGCGCGGCTATGAATGGACGGAAATGGTTCAGGATAATGTACCTGTTTCACACATTTGGCCTGTATAACCGGGCACGCAGCCGCTCAGACATCCTCCTGTTGTGTGGTGACACCGTCGGGTAGAGGAGGTACCCCTCTGCCGGCAGTTGCTACTGCAAACGGACGTACAGTTTTCTCCGTACATTCCATTCTGGCATTCTGAAAGGGTCCCATCTCTACACATTATTATTTCTCCAATAAGTTCTATTCAGTAACAGTGTAATACTCGGTACAACTCACGAAAGTCACCCCATCTCGTCAATCGTGTGATTTCCGTAGCTGCTCCCGCAAGCAGTCGTATGCTTTAAGGGTGTTATGTGTTCCTCGTTTTGACCATTTTAAGCACATTCACCACCGACGACAGCAGCCGTCAACAAGCGTAAAACACAAAAGCGTTGGTGATTCGATGCTCACGAGCCGTCGAAACTTTGGCGCTTTCCCTTTGCAGTACTTCTTCCTTCTATAAAGGCGACTTTGGCGCCTGAGACATTATCACAAAGCAACCGCGTTTCACAGAAAAGGGAGTTGGGTAAAGAAAGCTGCGCAGTTACGTCTCGTAGACAGTGCTAACCTCAACGAACAAACCCGAACCATTTATAGGCACACTATGCATAGAAGAAGAATGAACACGTCTCAAAACACTCCAACAGTATAGAACAGCCCGCGGGAACCACTACGAAAGCTTGCCACCGACAAGACAGGGTGACGTTTTCGTTAGTAGTACCTAATACTTGTCTATTTCAGGTAGCCATGACTACCATCATTATCCTTATAATATATATATATATATATATATATATATATATATATATATATATATATATATATATATATATATATATATATATATATTTATATATATATATAGATATATATATATATACACATATATATATATTTATATATACAATTATATATGTATATATATATATATATATATATATATATATATATATATATATATATATATGTGTATGTGTGTGTGTGTGTGTGTGTGTGTGTGTGTGTGTGTGTGTGTGTGTGTGTGTGTCTATTGATTCAATCACTATCTATACTCTGTGTTGTACTATTCATTTAATATGAATCATGTGTTCAACCGGCCATTGTGTATCTTTCATCTGTTCCTTTATGCATCTAATACTCATTTTTGCTCATACATGTATTGAATATTTATTATGTGTTCATCGCATTATTGCATTATTATCTATTGCCTCACTTTTTGTATATCTATATAATGTGTATTTAGTCCTTGCATTTCCATTCTGTGTCAATTATGTCACTGAATATCTATTATCTGTTCATTCAGTCATTTAATATCTAGTTAGCTTCCACTAATTCATTGAATATTTAGTATGTGCGCGTGTTGTGTTGTTCGTCTATCACAAATGATATAGATTACTGCTTCTTTTATCTATCAAGCAACTCTAGCTGAGTGTCTGTGCGTCCGGAACTGACTTGTAAGCCAAATACGGTCCCGGAAGGATCTAGGAGATCTAGGACAATGTCTGTAGATAAAGTGCCTGTATTACCAAGTCTTTCTATACCAGCAGTTCTCAACATATGGGTCGAGATCCTTTTTTGTGGTCAACGACCCTTTCACAGGGTCAAAAGGCCATCGCAAACACATATTCATTGAAGTTATGAAGAAGCGGGGAAAACAATTGTATTCTTGGGGATCGCCACAACATGTGGAATTGTATTATAGGGTCGCGGCTTTAGAAAGGTTTAGAAGCACTTTATAGTCTTCGAGGTTCAACTGCCCTTTTTCAAATAAATGTACATTCAATCATTGAAATTTAATAAGTGAAAGTGAATTGTCTGACTACCAAATCATGGTCGAATGTGAAATAACGACCACGTGTAAAATGAGTCACCTTTACATGTTTAAAAAAAAAAAACGCCAATATGGCTGGTCATTTCTTGTGTCCATTGTTCACAAGACAGGAGATGAACGAACTGGACACAGGGTGATTCAAGTAGTGAAGAGAACGGACTGCTGCTATAGCTGTCAGGAAGTGGTGCAAGTGGACATGAAGAGAAGGGGACTGCTATAACTGTCAGGGAGCGGTGCAAGTAGACAGTCAAGAGGAGCAGACTGCTATAACTGCCAGGGAGTGGTGCAAGTGAACAGTGAAGAGGAGCAGACTGCTATAACTGTCAGGGAGTGGTGCAAGTAGACAGTGAAGAGGAACGGACTGCTATAACTGTCAGGGAGTGATGCAAGTGAACAGTGAAGAGGAACGGACTGCTATAACTGTCAGGGAGTGGTGCAAGTAGACAGTGAAGAGGAGCGGACAGCTATAACTGTCAGGGAGTGGTGCAAGTGGACATGAAGAGGAGCGGGCTGCTATAGCTGTCAGGGAGTGGTGCAAGTGGACATGAAGAGGAGCGGGCTGCTATAGCTGTCAGGGAATGGTGCAAGTGGACATGAAGAGGAGCGGGCTGCTATAGCTGTCAGGGAGTGGTGCAAGTAGACAGTGAAGAGGAGCAGACTGCTATAACTGTCAGGGAGTGGTGCAAGTGGACATAAAGAGGAGCGGACCGCTATAACTGTCAGGGAGTGGTGCAAGTGGACATGAAGAGGAGCAGACCGCTATAACTGTCAGGGAGTGGTGCAAGTAGACAGGGAAGAGGAGCGGACCGCTATAACTGTCAGGGAGTGGTGCAAGTAGACAGTGAAGAGGAGCGGACCGCTATAACTGTCAGGAAGTGGTGCAAGTGGACAGTGAAGAGGAGCGGACCGCTATAACTGTCAGGGAGTGGTGCAAGTAGACAGTGAAGAGGAGCGGACCGTTATAACTGTCAGGGAGTGGTGCAAGTAGACAGTGAAGAGGAGCGGACCGCTTTAGCAGTAGGGGAGTGGTGAAAGTGGACATGAAGAGGAGCGGGCTGCTATAGCTGTCAGGGAGTGGTGTAAGTAGACAGTGATGAGGAGCGGACTGTTATAGCTGTCAGGGAGTGGTGCAAGTAGATAGTGAATTGCCCAGCAGACTGCTATAGCAGTAGGGGAGTGGTGCAAGTAGATAGTGAAGATGAAATTGTGGAGAGTGGCTAGAGACATTCTGAAGAGAAGCTGACTGTTGTAAATGAGCATAAAGCTGATAAGAGTAACAATGAAGAGGGTTTGACATCTTTCAATTGAAGGGAAGTGGCTGCAGGTTTTGTCAAGGGAAGCAGGGAGGTTGGGGAGGGGGGGGTGGATAAACGAGGAGTGGCCGAAGGATACAGTACCTGAATGACACGTTGGGATGGCATACCCGGGGAAGCAGCCATCTGGACATTCACCAGTGACGAAGTCACACTCAGGATCTGAGAAAGTACCATTCTGCCAGCAGTTGCTGCTGCACACGGACATACAGTTGTTTCCGAATCTCCCGGGTTCACAGGCTGAAACAGATTTATATGTTAGAATGAGCAGAGCTTCACAGCGTGACAAGAACAACTACAATGTGATATTTATCTCTTTCTCATAATCACAATTGTCCTTTCTATAATTATCATCGCTTTCATCGTTTTAGCAATTACAGCTTGGTCTAAAATAATCCCTGTCGCAATCAAACCACGAAGACAATTACACATTTTGATGTCCTCATCATCATTATCATCTTCATTTAGGCTGTCATCATTCAGTGGTTAAATTAATATTATCTGTTCCCACATTCACTGAATAAATATTACAATTTCATTATGTCGGTAAACATCTATCCAGTACCTTTTTTACCCAGTGACAAAATAAAATGTATGTGTTCACAGTCAATCTATATCTACTGTCGATTCCTTCAGTCAGCGTCTGTCGCTTAGGCGTTGCAAACACGTTTCACAATGCTGAGGTGCCAGGTTCGATCCCAGTTGTGGAAGATTTTTCTTGCGTCGGTTTCGACAGTGGTACCGAGAGCTGACCTTTTCGGAAAGCAACGGCAAACTTCTGCCTGTAAAATTTGCCTAGAAAAAAAGAAGCAACCACAGGCCACAATTTAATCAACCATAAAATTGTATTGTCTGATGACTAAATCACGGCAGAAAATTGAATAACAAAGCAAACGATATTATATAGATGTGAATAGACAGAGTGGCTCAGGGACATGGGGAGGGGAAACGTTTAGGTGCCAATAGACAGAGTTTCCAGGGACAAGCGAATGGGGAACGATTAGGTTCCAATAGACAGAGTGGCTCAGGGAGACAGGAAAGGGGAACGTTTAGGTTCCAATAGACTGAGAGTGGCACAGGGAGACGGTAAAGGGGGACGTTTAGGTGCCAATAGACTGGGTGTGGCTCAGGGAGACAGTAAAGGGGAACGTTTAGGTGCCAATAGACTGAGTGTGGCTCAGGGAGACAGTAAAGGGGAACGTTTAGGTGCCAATAGACTGAGTGTGGCTCAGGGAGACGGTAAAAGGGGTCGTTAAGGTGCCAATAGACTAGGTGTGGCTCAGGGAGACAGTAAAGGGGAACGTTTAGGTACCAATAGACTGAGTGTGGCTCAGGGAGACGGTAAAGGGGGTCATTAAGGTGTTAATAGACTAGGTGTGGCCCAGGGAGACGGTAAAGGGGAACGTTTAGGTGCCAATAGACTGAGTGTGGCTCAGGGAGACGGTAAAGGGGGTCGTTAAGGTGTTAATAGACTGGGTGTGGCTCAGGGAGACGGTAAAGGGGAACGTTTAGGTGCCAATAGACTGAGTGTGGCTCAGGGAGACGGTAAAAGGGGTCGTTAAGGTGTCAATAGACTGGGTGTGGCTCAGGGAGACGGTAAAGGGGAACGTTTAGGTGCCAATAGACTGAGAGTGGCCCAGGAAAACTGTGAATGGCAACGTTTAGGTGCCAATAGACTGATAGTGGCCCAGGAAAACTGTGAATGGCAACGTTTAGGTGCCAATAGACCAGGAGTGGCTCAGGGACAGAGTAAAGAGAACGGACAGGTGTAAACTGGCATGGGGTGGCTCAGAGACATGGCAAGGAGGAACGGACAGGTGCAGATGGACAGCGATTGGATCGATGACGTATTACCTGATTCACATGTTGGGAGTGAGTATCCTAGCACACATCCACTTAGACATTCGCCTGTTACGAAGTTGCATCGTCGCTCTGAGGAAGTACGCCTTTGTTGACAGTTTACACTGCACAAGAACGTGCAGTTGTCTCCATATAACCCGGGCTCGCATGCTGAAACAGTTTCACTGGTATGAATTATCCGAGCTCACAAGTGACATTAAATGTTACATTAAAATACTGATCTTTTACTCATATTCACAGTTACTATTGTTATCATTGGCATCAACTTCCTTATCTCTATGATCATACTCGTTATCACCATCGTAAACATTATCCTCTAGGCAGCAATTACAACTGTATGCAACATTATATCAGTCAAGATCAAACTATAAACATAAAGACAACAGTTTTCTTTATTGTGATCAAAGTCAATGCAATCATCAGTCATTTGTTAAATATCTAACATTTGTTCGCCCATTCGTTGAATATATATATATTACGTGTTTATTTAATTATTGAATATCTATTACATGTTCACAACAACAAGTATATACATGTTCCGACAATTAGGTGCTGAGACTAATTCTATAGACAATTAAAATAATAATCAGTTACAGAAATAACCTGTGTTTTATTCAAAGTAAGCCTTTTGTGCAGTGACACGATCTAACAAACACTAGAACGACCACTGTAGTTCTTCTATCGTTATGGCCCCTGAAGTCGACGTTACGGCCGTTTGGATGCCATCAATATTGTCAAAGAATCGTCTTTTCAATCGTAACTTTAATTTTGGGAATAGTAAATGGTCACAAGGTGACAAATGTGGGTAATATGAAAAAGGGGTGGGGGGGGGGGGGGAGAGAGACACGCACTTGTGTTTGGGTCTAAAATTCCTGTACAACTACTGCTCTTCTCTTTGAACTGGTGCATTGTCATGAAGAAAGGGAAAAAAGGGGGGGGGGGGAATTCCAGGCGTTGAATACAAACCAACAAGTAAATTCCCCCCCCCCCCCAAATCTTCCACTAAAATTCTACGAATAGCTTCTGTACTGACACCAAATTTATGTACCATCATCCTAACAGTCAAATAACGATCTTCTTGTATCCCTTCTCGGAATTTTGCAATGAGTTCCTCATTACGAACAAAAACTGCGAGTTCAGGTCTAGTTGCATTAGTAATAATTTCCACACCACTTTTGAATAGTGAATACCAGCTGAGAATCTGTGCACGAGATAAACAATTATCCCTATAAACTTGTCGCATCAATTCATCTGTTGCAATGGCGATTTTTTCTGAGTTTTAAAAAGAATTTAAAGTAAGTTTTTTTTTTTTTTTTTTATGCCTGATGCTCAATACGTAAAAATGAAACTCTGACTAAGTTAACAAAATGGCGACTTGTTTTGTTGTCTGCTTATTGGGTGGCGATGAAATGTTGCCAGATCATAGACGAAGGTTGCCTTTTTAGATTCTATGCTTTGATTCATTGATGGTATTTTTGTCTTGGCCATAATAAAATCAGTCTTATTACATAATTGTCGGACCTTGTATTATGAGTTCATTCAATCACTGAATATATATTTCCTGTTGTAATGAGTCATCTTCTCACTGGTAATTAATGTTCTCATTTGTAAATGAGGCTAACTACTAAACAAAAATTATATGCCTGCATTTGGTTGAATAGTATCAATTACGAAGTATAAGGTATGCATGAACAAGACCGAGTAACGAATAATTCAGGACAAGTGTGCAAGTAGGCCGAAAGTGTGCCAGATAAGAAAACGCTAAGAAGCGAGAGGGAAACATATTATTTAAACTTGGAATGATCGATCAGATTAGGTCTTGTTTTTTAGGTTGAAAAGCCGGGTTGAAGGGCGCTTGAAAAATAAAAGTGAGTGAATCTTAAGAGAAAATCAGTGTTTGGCAGAGCAAATAATCTGACTAGATTACACACTAAAATAACAAACGGCAGTGAAGGGACAGGAATGGATCATGCACAGTACCTGTTTTACAGGTGAGGCCGATATATCCGGGCAGACAGCCTTCTGGACATTCGCCTGTGATAAAGTCACACTCTGCAACAGAGAAACTCCCGTTCTGCCGACAGTTGCTGCTACACAAGATCGAACAGTCGTCTCCGTACGTCCCAAGCTCACAGGCTGAAACAGACACATCTGTGTGAATGATCTGAGCTCTCACATTTGGCATTAACAGTAACATTGCTACGAGCATGGCTTTCTTGCAATCACAGCCACAAGTGCCATAATTATCTTTATCATCATAATCATTATCAACATCATGACTATCGTCATGATTTATCGCCATAGTCATTACTATCATAATAAAAAAAACATCGCAACAGTTAAAATTAGAAAGAAATGATGACTGTGATTAAATAGAGAGTTGATCATGAACACCGTACCTGACTGACACATTGGCCTGATATATCCAGTCTTGCAGCCATGTGAACATTCTCCTGTGATGAAGTCACACTCTGGAACAGTAGAATTGCCCATCTGCCGGCAGTTGCTGCTGCACAAGGACGTACAGTTATCTCCATACCTCCCAGGCTCACAGGCTGAAACAGTCCAACATGCATGATTTATCTGAGTTTCAAGACTTGATATCTTCAGCATACACATCTTTTTCTTATAATTACAATTATTACTGCATTTACTATCACCAACCTTGTCATTCCATTATCACCATTCTCACCTGAGCAGTAATTCCGATTAAAAAAAACACAACATAATCTCGGAAAAACAAAATACAGTAATTCTTTTAAGGTGATCATTACTAAATTAGTCACCATTCAGTCGTTCAATTTGTAATATTTGTTCATTCATTTATCCAATGCCAATTGTGTGTTCTTCAATCATTGAATATATATATATATATATATGTGTGTGTGTGTGTGTGTGTGTGTGTGTGTGTGTGTGTATGAGTATGCATTCAGTGACTGAATGTGTATTATGTGCGCATTCAATGACTGAATATTTAATACTCTTTTCATTTAATTATTTAATATAATTCATGTGTTCATTGAGATGTTAAATTTCTTGTATCTGTTCACTCATTCATCGTATATTATGTGTTCATGAAATCGCTCTTTCTGGTTTATTTGCTCAAATAATTAAATATATATTTTATATTCAATCAATCATTGATTATCTATTATGTACCCATTCAAACACTAAGCAATTATCAATCCTTCATTGATTTAATAAATAACCACGTTCTCCTATAATTTACATGACTGTTATGTGTTGATGGAGTAATTAAATATATATTTTCTGTTAACATAGACATTGATTTTCTAAAGTTTATTCTTTTAATCATTAATTTAAAATAAATTATTTCATCTGTTAACCGGATAAAAATAAAATAAGGATCGCTGAAAACGTTTACAGTGACTTAACTCTACATGTTAGAACAGACAAACCTGAATATGTCTAGTCTTATCTTCACTGAGTTCACAAGACAGAATAGGAACAGACCGCTGTGATCAGACAAGGAATGTCTCACAGATACTAGAGTTAAAAGTTAAAGTCCAGATAATCGATTTATCTGCATCGGGTTTTATCCCATATGGGTCAGTCTCTCTCCGCAGAACGGCTTGCCGCTGCCTAGAGCGCTGCACTGAGAATCAACTCCGTTGCTCAGGCATCGATCTCTAGGGATTTCAATTTAAAAAAATGTATCCTAACCTGAAGGGTGCAGATGTGGGACGAACCCACGACCTTCAGAGCGCGAGGCAAAACGACATGACCACTTCGCCACAAAGACTCCAGTTCAGAAATACTGTAAAGGGGAGCGGGTGACTGTTAATGGACAGAGGGACAGGAGAAAACAGTGGACAGGGATGGACGGCTGTGAATGCAGGGTGTAGATCACAAACAAATTGAACACTAACGGAAGCTGTTAATGCAAGGGGAGTGGCTCATGTGCCCTGTGAATAGGAAAGGATGACTGTGAAATAGCGTGGGACTGTTCAGTGACACAGCTAAGAGGAACGGACGGATATGAGTGAACGTGAGGTGCTCAGATACACAGTGAAGAGGATTTATGTTTAAATGAGAATTGACATTTTGCACTCCACATTCCTGTGAGCGATGTACACGTCCTCATCAACAAGCGCCGAGTTTTAGTTCCAAAAATACCAGAAACGATATGATTGTATATCCGTTTCAGATTTCCATGATGGCCAGATCCCCTGGTAACTCCCCACGGGGGTATTCCTACCAAGCCGTGATGATCAATCTGTGCCTCTGCACTGACCATTCGCCCCAAGTATCCCTTGCAATTTCTAGTTTGTCATGCATGAATAATTCAACAAGCTGTGCTAAACCAGACAGTCTATCTGTCTGTTCATTACCCAAAACATCTATATGACCTGCAGAAAATATCCAAAGGACGGTAACTACCCGGGTCCTTTAAAAAGATGCTTCCCTCTCTGCAAGAAGCATACCTGTTACCACCTTTCTCAGTATGTTTTGAGTGTCAAGTTACAATTAAGACGTGTGTGTAGAGCTGGCTTCTCAAGCCAGCGGAAGGCTGCAGTGACTGCCTCCGCCTCCATTCTCAAACTAGATGGTGCGGTATCAAATGGCAGGTTTTTGTTGCACTAAGCGACTTCGATTCACATTTGGTTAAACTCTCACGAACTTCGTCTACCTCCAAACCACGGCCAGCTCCAGATTTATATAAAAATCTGGAGCTGGCCGTGCTCCAAACATAGAGCCGTCTGTACAGACGATGACATCACCTGGGAGAGAATGAGATTGGCACCTTTCTGTTTTTCCAGGCGATAGTGTTACACTGCGTTAGGAGGAGGCACTGGACTCATAGCCCATGGCGACGGCGAGTGTGACTAGTAAGACACGCCCCCATTAAGAAAAGTCTTTCTTAATCATAGCATGGAATTTCAGGGCTATTGTCAACATTTTTGTTTAGTGCGTTTCTTTTCAGACGTTTAGCTCTCATCCTTTATGCAATAATTTCCTTCATCATTATTATCAGTCGTCCCCATATGGGATGCAATTTTTCGTTTTGTGAAGCCCCATCCTGGCTTTTGCCGGGGGCCCTGAGTAAATATGGGCCATAAATATTGCTTACGGCTGAAAGGGGCTTATGGGACCTCTCCAAGGGTGATCCTCATCAGCATGGTGGTACTTTGTGTCACCGGGTGTTTATCCCCTGTGTGGTGTCCTGGTGAGGTACAAATATATATATATATATATATATATATATATATATATATATATATATATATATATATATATATATATATTTATATATATATATATATATATATATATATGTATAGGGAGAGAGAGAAAATTTCCTTCCTCATTCTGATTCCCCTCCTGGTGTACACCCGTCCACACAACACGGTCTGGGAGAGAATCGTCATGAATCACTTGTTGAAGGTGAAGAGGATCAGAAATCATTGAACAAAAGGGGAGTGGCTCAAAAGCATACTAACGAGGAAAGACCGGCTGTAAATAGACGTTACGGGTCACAGGGATACATTACCTATCTTACAAGCTGAGTCTGAATATCCGGGCAGGCAGCCATTCGGACAATCGCCTGTGATGAAATTACAATGTGAATAAGAGGTATTTCCTTTCTGACGGCAGCTGCTACTGCACACGGACGTGCAGTTGTCTCCGTATGTTCCAGGTAGGCAGGCTGAAACAGTTACATCTGTATTAATTAGATGAGCTCCACAAAGAGGCAGCAACAGTAATATTACAATTCTTGACTCTCTGTCTCTCTCTCTCTCCCTCTCTCTGTCTCTCTGTCTGTCCCTCTCTCTCTCTCTCTCTCTCTCTCTCTCTCTCTCTCTCTCTCTCTCTCGCTCGTAATGACAATGGAAATTGCTATCATTATCATCATTCATCTCATCTCAATCATCATCATCATCATCATCATCATCATCTCTCAGAAGCAATCTACAGCTAAAATAATTAATGTTGTAATGTTGTAAACAAAAGCACAACAAATAAGGATATCGTCATGTATTATGATTGTCACCAAAGTATAGATGTTAATAATGGATGCTAGTTAATCAGTGGAGAATAAAAATCAAAGAATCTTTTTGAAAATTAAGGACCAAGAAGCAGGAAAAACACGGACATCCTTCATGATCTGAGCATCCGGGAGAATAGGCTCATCAACAGTATCCTGTCCCGAAAGCTGATGTATTTGTGCCGTGATAAACGTCACGATGGCCTGGTCAAAGAGGTGATGAAGGTACAGTTTCCTCAAAACGAGGCAGATGCAGACCTCAGCGGAAGCGGAAGCTAGCCAGGAATGATGCGCTGATACTGCACATACTGCTGGAGAACTCGATAAATAAATATAGATCCTTCTGCATGTAGCGACGAGAGCGGCGTTACTGAAAGGACCTGCCCTGAGGAATCAAGATTTAGCTTACAATAAGTAGATGCATTTTTACCAGAAAGGGCGAAATATGGCACTGACATGAGAATTAATCAGCTGCTGGGAAGGAAGACTAAGCACGTATAGGAATCTTTAGTGCAGTGACGACAGTTCTTTTATACATACACGTATTCCTATTATGGCTCTATTTATTTATTAAAAATCTACTATGCGTTTATTCATTCATCTTTATGAACTTATTATTATGAATCTATTATCCGTTCACTCATCTATCCAATGTCAACGATCTGTTCACTCAATGTTTCAATATCTTACATGTTTCTACTCAATAACTGAATATCTACTGTCGTTTTTTTTAAGTTTAAGTTGATACAACGGATCAACATCATGCCATAAGGGTAATAACCCATAAGGGCTTCGTTCTTTTTCTGACTCAAGCCTGAGTCCGAAGAATCTCAGCACAGTGCACGAACTTCGTAGCACCGGCGAGGTTCCTGAAATACTTTAGGTAGATTTTTGGCTAATTGTTTTCGAGACCAGGGAAAATTACTAGAACGTTTTGTTTCATTCTAGGATTGACACATTGCTGTCTGATTGCCAAATCGCGGTAAAAAATATTAAACAAATATACGATATCTTGATTCTAACCGTCAGAACAGATAATCTTGAACATTGATAGTTTTATCGCATGTTTCCTGAGCTCACATAGAAGACGAATAAACGACTAAGCGGCCAGTAACTCATCGATAAGAAAAATGGAATAGGTGGTTGTAAATAGACAACAAGTGGCCCCAGAACACAGTAGAGAGGATTGGACGACTGGGAATGGACGCTGAGTGACTCAGGTGAATCAGAAAGAGGAACAGATACATGTGAATGGACGCGGAATGGCAAAGAAACACCGTGAGGAGGAACAGACTACTCTGAAGGGACATGACATGGCCAGACGAACAATGAACAGTAGGGGATGGTTGTGAATGGATGTGGAGTTGCTTAGATAAATAATAAAAAAAATAATAAAAAACGGAAAGTTGTAAATGAATGTGGAATGGCTCAGATTTAAAAAAAAAACACACACATAGAAACGAATGGTTGTGAATAAAAGTGGGATGGCTTAGATAAATAATAAAGAGAAACGGGTGGTTGTAAATGGACGTCGATGGTTCAGATAAATAATAAAGAGAAACGGGTGGTTGTGAATGGACGTGGGATAGCTCAGATAAAAAATAAAGAGAAACGAATGGTTGTAAATGGACGTCACTGGTTCAGATAAATAATAAAGAGAAACGGGTTGTTGTGAATGGACGTGGGCTGGCTCAGATAAAAATAAAAATAAACAAATGGTTGTGAATGACAGTGGGATGGCTCAGATAAATAATAAAGAGAAACGAATGGTTATAAATGGACGTGGGATGGCTCATGTAAAAAAATAAAGAGAAACGAATGGTTGTAAATGGACGTGGATGGCTCAGATAAAAAAAAAAAGAGTAACGAATGGTTGTGAATGGACGTGGGATGGCTCAGAAAAATAATAAAGAGAATCGAATGGTTTTAAATGTACGTGGGATGGCTCAGATAAATAACGAAGAGAAACGGGTGACTGTGACTGGGAGTTAGGTGTCTCCGGAACACAGGAAAAAGGAACAGACGGTCGGAAATACACATTATGTGACTAAGGATACAGCCAAAAGAAATGGACAATTTGATATTCAAGGCGAGTGGCACTGTGGTATGGTATAAAAGCATAGACTGCTGTAAATGCATTAGAGTGGCTCAGGACCACAGACAAATGCAGGCTTTGAATCAACATGGAGTAGCCCAGGGAAACAGACACATGCAGGCTTTGAATCAACATGGAGTGGCCCAGGGACACAGTACCTGTGTGGCACGTTTGACCCGTATATCCAAGAAGACAGCCAGAAGGACATTTTCCTGTGACGAAGTCACAATGTGTAACAGAGGAAGCAGAGGAAGTGCCCGTCTGCCGGCAGTTGCCACTGCACAAGGACGTACAGTTGTCTCCGTACCTCCCTGGTTGACAGGCTGAAACAGTTTTAATTGTTTGAATTATCAGAGTTCTCACTCATGGCATCAACAGTAACATCTCTATAATCATTTCTCTCGTAATTACAATTATCTTTGCTGTCGTCATCATTTATATTATATGATCGACATCATCATCGTCTATATCATCGTTGTCCAAGCAGCAATTACAACTCGTTGAATGTCAAGTATCTGTATTTTTATTTGAGTAAGAAGTAAAGATACCTTTTTCCGCCTTTTAGGCGCATCGGGCATATGGGAAGAGCATCCCCTATTTTTACAGACCAATCGGCACTGGGTGGGCAATGTGGTCATCATTACACCGGCCTCCTAGGACATACATCCTGCTACCCATTTTAGGCCAAGTTGACTTGGGACGCCGCATACCACGCAGCCAGCAGTGGGTTTCGATCGCGGTACTTTGGAATTACGAGTCGGACTCGCAACGCCTAAGCCACCAATCATTTAATATCTGATTAAGTCTTTACTCAGTAGTTGCACATTTGTCATCTATTCACTAAAACACCAATGTCTATTAGATGTGCATTCTTTTATTAAACATCTATTACTAGTTGTCTCATTCCTTACACATCTATTATTTGTTTACTCAGTCATTGTACATCTAGCGACTGTTCACCCAGTCAGTGAGAATTTCGACTGGTTACTAAATCAAGGTTTAAAAAAAAAAGGGAAAACTAAACACGTTTAGGATGTCTCAACTACATATACGGGGAGGGGGGAAAAGGGGGGGGGGGGACCTTTAACATTCTTTTGCCTTTCTATCCCCCAATGGAGCATAGGCCCTCAACCAACTCACGCCAAGTCTTTCTATCCTTCGCCATTGCATGGAGCTCTCCCATGTCCTTCCCATTTTTCCAACTTCATTGTCCAGCTCTCTTCTCCATGTGTTTTTTGGCCTTCCTTTATTCCTATACCCCTGTGCGTTCCAATGCAAAGACATTCTAGTTATGCTGTTCTCCTGTTTTCTCAGTGTGTGTCCTTTCTTTAACATGGATAGTCAGATCTATTTCTGTTCTGTTCACCTGACAGGAAAGGAAATAACACTGTGAATGAGCCCGAATTGACGAAAGTACAGTAAATAACAGAAAGTTGTGAATGAACGTGTAGCGCAACTGTCTACATTTGCACATGTTGACGTCACACCCAGGTTCGTCTTTTGTTTGCTACATGAGAAGTTAACTGAAGAATACAGACGAGAAGAAAGATGGTCGTGTCGATAGTGGTGGGATGATGGTCTCTCCTGTATAGTTCATGCTTCTCACGTCTCTGATACTTGCTTCTTGTGTAATAAAATGTTTTTAAACAACTATTATTTTCTGTAGTGTTTTTATTTTGATACCTCGGTAATGTTACAAAAAAGCATGAATGATATTCTGAATGGCCGCTGTTTTCGCTTTATGGTTACGAACTCTTGAGGTCGCGTTGTTTTCTTTATCTCCAGTTACTTCATTTACTTGTTCTAGTGTCAGTAACTGCCACCTGGCTTCTAGTACTGTCCGGTATTTACAGTTTGATCGTGTACTCTAGCATCTTAGTAGTGTTTCTGTCTAATATGTCTCTGTTTAACATGTATCCATGGATCTTGATTACTGTCTCTCGTAGTTCGTTGTTTCTTTTCACGTATGCTCTCTAGTGAGCACTCTCTTCGAGTCTAAATATGACTGGTTCTTCTTGTCCTAGTGTTGAGCTGGCGTCTCAACGACTAAACGTTCTTCCTAACGTGTGAGGGTCCATGTTACCAGTCCCCCCTCTTCTGAGTGTCGCAGATTTAAGAATGAAGATTCTCGTCTCTGAGGGTAAATATTACTAGACCCTCCTATTGCAAATCTCGATGACTAAAGGTTAAAGATTCTTCCGTACATATAAAAGTCCATGTTACTAATCCCTCCCCTTCAGATTCTTACGATTGAAAATTACCCAAGTTTTTTTTTAATCATTATTTACACTGAGATGCTGGAATGCGTGGTATGTGTTTTTATACTTACTAAACTAGTGCTAGATAGTTCTAGAACAGTTCAACGTGTTTACTGTGCAGGTTTTCACTGGGAGTTTCTAATTGCGTCTCGATTGAATCAGATAGCTCTGCTCCTAAACATACTCATTTGTTTGGCCAATGGTCCTTTGTGGATTTCTAGAAAGGGACTTACTGCGTTCTTTGTGCTAGGGCACGTTTAAAAACATTACGTCAAATACTATTTATAGATTATCCATTTGCAAAATATAATTCAGGTAATAAACAAATGATGGTTCCAGAAAGGAATGTCAAGGTTGCCAAGACTTGTTGAATAATATAATTATGCGCAATATCCTAACTCCTGACAAACAAGTGATGACGTCTCCCTGTTACAAACAGTGGGTGGCTCACGTACACGTTAAAAAAAATGTACGTTGTAAATTAACCGAGAGTAGCTTGAGGACACAGTGAAAAGAAACGAGTGTGTGAAAAGACACCTCCCACCTGTTTGGCACTTTAGGCCAGTATATCCTGGCATACAGCCACTCAGACAACTGCCTGTGACGAAGTCACACCGTCGAGCAGAGGTAGTGAACACCTGCTTACAGTTGCTACTGCACGAGGACGTACAGTTCTTTCCGTATTTCCCAGGCTGGCAGACTGAAACAGTTTCATCTGTATAAATTATCTGTGCCACAACAAGTGACATGAACAGACACAAAACTGATATATTTCTCGTAATAACAATTATCATTAATATTTATCAGGAAAAAGCTGTTGATAGAGTGGAAAGAAACAAACTGTGGTCTGTTCTTGAGAATTACGGGGTACAAGGACAGTTACTAGAGAACATCATAGCTATGTACCACACAATCCAAAGTGCAGTAAAAACACAAGAAAGCATATCAGATATGTTCACAGTCAACACAAGTGTGAGACAGGGAATGTGTGCTCTCCCCACTTTTATTTAACATCTATATAGATAGAATATCTAAAGAAGCAAGTTATGATACAGACAACATAGACCTTTATAATCACGAGGAAGTAGATACATCAGAAGAAGTAATCGATTCACCCACATTAAACGAACTACTGTTTGCTGACGACCAGTGCTTGTTCCACCCTGAAAAACATAGACTGCAAGACCACTTTAACAGGTTAAACTCAGCATGTAGTAAATACAACATGAAGATCAATGTAAACAAAACCAAAACAATGCAAGTTAGTAGACATTCTGCCCCACTACACATACAGTTGAATGGTTCTGCCCTGAATCAAGGTAGGGAGTTTAAATATCTAGGAAGTATGACCACAGAAGATGGTAGAATTGTCAGAGAAATAGAAACCAGATGTCAGAAAGCAAGTGCACTTATATACAAATTGTCACCATTATTAAGACATCCAAGCATAACTATGAGTGCAAAGAGACAGATTATTAATAGCATATTTATTCCAACATTAAGCTACCAGTGCCAAACATGGACACTATCTAAAGCCCATAAACGCAAAATTACCAACTGCGAGATGAGGTGCCTGCGAGAAAAGAAACCAACCTAACCATACGAGATCGAGATCGAGTGAATAATGAAACTATCAGGCAAATTGTGGGAAAGACACCTTGTACTAGATTCTTAGAGAAACAGCAGATCAAGTGGTTTGGCCATCTCGTTAGAATGCAGCAAGATCAAATACCATCACAAGCACTACATCTCAGAAGATCAACTACAAGAACAAGAGGACGGCCGCGGAAAACATGGTTCGACAACATTAAAGACACTCTACGCCTTCACGGCATGACAATAGCCAGTAGCAGTCAAGGTGCACTGGATCGCAAATGATTCCTCCCCACGGCGATTAACGGCAGAAGTGGTTTATGATGATGATGATTACTATTTTTGCGAGCTGAATTGCCTTGCAAAAGCCACTCAGAGGCGTAGTTGCCTACGTCAGTCGTTAAGCCAAGGCACTGGATGCTGATGGTAACAGAGACGTGGGTAAAGGGTCTATGTGACTTGAGGTGAGAGACGAGTGCAAAAGGTCCACGCTATGCACTAGGTTGTGAAAGATGTTTTTTAGGAGTTTCGCGGCTAACACTAATGGTCAGCATTACGCTGGCCGTCTTTACTTCTTCAGGACATACATTTTGGATCCCATTTTAGGCTAGGTCGACCTGCGACGCCCCATACCAGACAAAAATTCTCGCAGCCAGCAGTTGGTTTCGATCGCTGTACGCTAGAATTATGAGTCGGACTCTAAACGCCTAAGCCACAGACGCCGCAGCCTAGATTTATGTGTAAAAATGACACTTGCCATAATTATTTTCACTGCGTCTGGAGAATGGAAGACTCACAAAGCCTACCTGTTGTATTCTGATAAGTAAGCAATCAAGGTCACTTATGGAAGTTAGCCCGGGGAGGGGGGGGGGGTGTTGTCTGTATCTACCCGTATCTAAGATACCAAAGTCTGTTTATCTCAGCACGGGTCCACGCTGTTTATTCCGAACTGTGGCATTACCCAGATATTTGAAACGGATTGAAAACACTTACTTACTTAGTCACTTTTCTTCAACCCTTGGATGTAGAGGTAGACCACAGAGATCGCCAGACTTCTATGTCAGCAGTTTTATTTTTGGCTTTGTTCCATTCGAGTGAACCCTGCGTCGTACTGGTTTCCTGGTTCTTGGGTCTCCCATGCAGCCGTGGTGTCTGAATCTCTCTCATTCTGCATACATGTTCAAAGTTTCGTAATTGTGAAAGATCCACTCGAGTTTGTAAAGAGTGGCTTTCATGGTCATGATGTTTTGTTTCACTGACAAATTTGTCTCTTCTTGTCACTTGGACCGCCTTTCTCATATACCTCATTTACGAGGTCTAAAGCTGGCTTTTATGAGCTCTTGTCATTGGCCATGACTTGCTCCCATATATCAGCAGTGGCACACAGGTAGAGCGGTATACACTTTTGTCCCTTCGCTTATTTTTCTTTTGCTGAGCAAGCCCCTTTTTATGCCCTGGAAAAGTCTCCCAGCTGCTGCTGTTCGAGTAGCCAACTCTGACGTGATACTCATATTCTGGTATATTACCACTGCAAAGTATTTGAGGTGGTTGACCTGCTTTAGTGCGTCTTGTCAAATCGTGTTCTGATGTCTCTTATCCTCTCTTGAGATCACCATCGTTTGAATTTTGGAAACGCTGACGGTCATCCGTATCCTCTCAAGCTCTTCCTTCCATGCATGTAAGTTAGACTGAAGCTGTGCCTCTGATTTAACTATCAGGGCCTCATCATTTGCAAATGCCAGCTCTGATATACAGGTAGGTCTCATATTCTGGTACCCTAGTGAGTACTTCTTTGTATTCTCTTTACAGGTTCTGATGACATCATCCATCAGAAGGATGAGGAGTTGGGATTAGGGAATATATTCCTGCTTGACACCGATGGTGGTCTTAAATTCTTCTGACTTTTGGTTTCTTTTTCCTAAATAATCTATGTAGTTTTTGTAGAAACTCTGCATTACTTAATCAGGAATTCTGGAATATTCTTCACTGCATGGAGTCCTAGAGCTTGCTCCAGGGAAACGTTATTAAATGCCTTTTTAGATCCAGGAAACATAAGTGCATCTTACTCTTTTATTCTATGACTATTCTCACTCATCTGAGTGTGGAGATAAGGTCCTGAGTACTTCGGTTTGCACTGAAACCAGTTGTGGTTCCGTCAGACATCTGAATGTCTGTTCGAGAATTCCGTTTTCCAGGAAGTCTGAGGAGGAATATGCCTCTGTGGTGTTCACACTGTCTGTATAATAATGGAAATCTCCTTGTCTTTTGGTAAATTCTTACTACACTAGGCTGCCTGTAAAACCTTCAGGAGAAGTAACTCCTCTGCGACTCTTATATATTTGACCAAATCTGGTGTTATCCCATCATGTCCAAAGCATCGATCCTTATGTTCTTATCCCCATGAATGTTTATATTTCTCTATTTGGGACTTCCGGTCAAAATAAACGTTAGGCAGCGGCACTGTTTGAAACAGAGGCAAATTTGTTTGCTTCTGTCGGACGGTGGCCAATGCATTTTTGTTCCATTTGTAGACTGGATATAGTTTCGTCGCCCAGCTTCAGAGCTGCGGATTGCATTTGGAATGTTTTTTTTCGACTGTGACCAATGTGTTGGTATGAAGTGTAGTTTCAGAAATGGCGCGATGCCTGTCGTGCAGTGTTATGGTGCCCGTATGTGATTAAAATTGATCGCGTGGGCAACTGCTGATCTGTTGGCGACTTCTGCTACCATCAATGATGAACTGCAATTCTATAACTGTGATAAACATTCTGTGTGTTTTTCGTTGGCACAGGAGCGGAGCAAAGAAGGGGTGACCCGTTTGCTATGAAGCTGAAACTAAGACTACCAGACTACCATTTCTCCATTTCTTTATCTCTGTTCCTAGCTGCTATGCATTGCTTTTTAACATTTTTTATTTCTCCTTTTTTTTGTGTTCCAATTTAGCTTTTCCCTTCCTCCAGGGTGTCCTGTACCAGTATCTTCAATTTCTGGACTCATCACATACTTCTCTTGCAGCGAGAATGACGATGTTCCTAAAATTGCACCAGATGGTTTCAATGTCCTCTGCTATTTCTTCTTCTTCGGCTCTTACTGCTTTCACTACAAGCACTTGAAACCTGGTCGTGTTCTGTGGCTCTCTTAGTTTGTAAGCCTTAATCCTCATCCCATCTCTGTTGTTTGGTTTCTTGCATTTGAAAACACCTATGTGTTCGTTATAATATACGTGACTAAGTGTTCATGACAATCTTCGCACATGCGTGGTATTTTCTAGAGTGCGCCATGTCCACTGGTTAAGAACGAGGCTCAAATCGTATGACAACTGGAGCACTAGTGTTGTAGTTACAATTACATACAGTTTTTTTTTTTTTTTAATTATTAATAATCAGTACAACTGGAGTCATTGCATGTTTATTCAATAACAGAATTACTGATGCCTGTTTTTTTATTAATTGAATGTAAATTATGTGTTTAGTGAGTCGTTACATTTTAAGATTTGTTCAATACGACATTTCAAATCGACTGTCTTTTTTTTAATTCAGTAACTGTATTCAGTATTCAGTGACTCGGGTGGGACAAATGATCATAAAATATAAAATGCCTATTGGAAATAGACAGGCAGTTGTTCCAAAACGTAATTTAGAGAAACGGACGGTTATGAATGCACAAGACCTAGCTCAGATACACAGTGGAAATGAACGGAGGCTGTGGAAAGACCATGAGACCAGTAAGGAAAAATGGACAGCTTTGAACAAAAAGTGAGTGATTTAGGGACTGTACCTGTTTGACACGTTATGCCTATATATCCAGGCGTGCAGCCACTCAGACATCTACCTGTGATGAAGTCACACTGTCGACTGGAGGGAGTTCCCGTTTGCTGACAACTGCTACTGCACATGGACGTACAGTTGTTACCGTACCTTCCAGGCGGGCAGGCTGAAACAGTTTTAACTGAATAAATTGTCAGAGCTCGAACAAGTTTTATGAAAGCATCAACAGCAGCAAAACCATTCATATATATTGCCTGTTATCACAGTTACAACTGCCTTAATTGCCGTCATCCTCTTTATCTACACCACCATTATCATCATCATCATTGCTATTTTAGCAGTAATTACAACTGAAGCAAACATAACAGAGGCCATAATGGAGGCAACAGGAATAATGATAGCATTTTTTTATATAATCATCATCAAAGAAGTAATCGTTTGATAGCTGAGTGTCTATTATTTATTGACTTAATTACTGGATAGATGGCGAAACATCAGACTGGTTTTATATCAGGCAATGAGTCCGTTGTTTTGCTGTTAACACTGACCATAAAATAGTTGTGTTAACAGCAAAACATCTTACATTAAAGAAACACAGAAAGAAATTAAACAAAAACAAGGATCTCATCAAGATATCAAATCTGAAACAGGAAGGAGTAAAAGAACAGTTACAACAGAAAGTAGAGACAGCATTCAAACAACTTCCACATGTAGTTGGCAATATTGAGGAAGAATGGAGTATATATAAAAACACTATGCTTAGTATTGCAGAAGAATTATGTGGAAAACGGAAGAGTGGAAACAGACGGGGAAATAACAAATATTCACCTTGGTGGTGCGAAGAAGTAAAAGAAGCAATTAAAAAGAAAAAAGACTTATATAAACAGTGGATAAAATCAAAGAAAGAAAAAGATTATATAAACTATAGACTGCAAAGGAGAGAAACCAACAGGAGTGTCAAGAAAGCAAAACAAGCATCCTGGGAACGTTTCGGTGAGTCATTAGCAGAAAATGAGAAAACAGCCAGCAGAAAATTTTTCAAAGTGGTTAAAAATATGCGGAAAAGAGATGAGAGCTACAACCCCACTGAAATAATTAATGATAAGACAGGAAGGCCATTAATAGATCCACCCGAGATTGCAGAAAGATGGAGGGAATACTTCAATGAGCTCTTTAATCCTCTAGGAGATCAGCAGGAAAGAATAACTGAAGAGCACAGAGCAACAGTGTTAGAACCACACATATTAATGGATGAAATAGAAAAAGTCATTAAACAGTCTCCCAAATATAAAGCACCAGGAGCTGATAGATTACCAACAGAAATAATTCAAGCAGCAGGTGAAAGCAGCATCAGATGGCTTCACAGAATATTCAATGCAGCATGGGTACAACAAACGGCCCCTTTTGATTGGCAACATGCAATAGTTATACCATTGTGGAAGAACAAAGGAAGCAAACGAGAATGCGGTCAATATCGAGGCATATCTCTTTTAAGCCATGTTGGCAAAATGTATGCCAAGATAATAGAAACAAGACTGAGACCAGTGATAGAACCACAGCTGGCAGAAGAACAGATGGGATTTAGGAGAAATAGAAGCTGCACAGATGCAATCTTCACACTTAAACAGTTAATAGAAAAGAACATTGAATACAATAAGAACTTATTTGTGGCTTTCGTAGACCAGGAGAAGGCATTTGACAGAGTCGACAGACAATTATTATGGAAAATAATGGCAAGATATGGAGTAAGCGAACACCTTATCGAAGTGTGCAAAAGTTTATACAGGGATTGTAGAAGTGTAGTTAGAATAAATCAGGGAACATCTCATCCTTTCACAGTGACATCTGGAGTAAGACAGGGGTGTGTCTTATCACCACTGCTGTTTATCACCTACATCGACAGTATATGCAAGAATGCCAAGCCCATGAATGAAGATTTTAGTAAGATCAACGAATTACTCTTTGCAGATGACCAGGCCTTGATAGCAGATACAGCCATGAAATTGCAACAACATCTAACATCCATGAATGAAGAATGTAAAACAAATAATATGAGAATCAACACTGAAAAGACAGAAGTAATGTCAATAGGAAAAAAGAAGACAGATCTAAACATAACAATAGAATACAAAGGCATTAAACAGGCATCTGAGTTTAAATATCTGGGAACTACATTTACCGAAGATGGGAAATTGGATAAAGAAATTGACATTAGATGCAGTAAAGCAAACCAAGTATTGGGACAGCTAGCCCCCCTCTTACAGCATAAGACAATCCCAATCAGCACAAAGAGACATCTTATTCAAAGCATATTTATTCCAACTCTGTGCTACCAGTGCCAGACATGGTCACTCACAACAAACCATAAAAGAAAATTAGTAACCACGGAAATGAGATGTCTGAGAAGGGCTGTAGGAGTGACCATAAGAGATAAGATCAGAAATGAGATCATAAGAGAACAAGTCGGCACAGAACCAATTCTGGATTACATACAAAGACAGCAAGTGAAATGGTTTGCCCACTTAGAGAAAATGCCTTGTGACACCATACCATACAAAGCATACATGGGAAGAGAAGAAGGACTTAGAGCACGGGGTAGACCAAGAACAATATGGAAGGATAACATCAGAGAAACTCTACAACAGCACGGTGTGCCTATGGTCGAGGCAGCCAGAAGAGCTAGAAACAGAACCTTATATCTCCCTCGACACCCACAGCGGTAAAAGAGGAAGTGAAGAAGAAGAAGAAGAAGAAGAAGAAGAAGAAGAATGAGTCCGTTAAGGCTGTGTAATTTATTTGTTTAACCTGTACTGCGAAAATATAGTGAGAAATGTCAAAGATGATATAAGCAGAGTGTAAAGTGATGCCCTAAATATTGGTGGTCATGAAATAACAGAGATCCGAAATGACGATGATACAGTATTGCTGTTCACATCACAGACTTGTATAGAAAAAGTAACAACTTAAACCCAAAGAAATAGTGAAAATCACAACTTATATCTTAACATAGCAAAAACAACACAAATGCATACAGATAAAACTACTACGGAAAAAGAAATATATGTTAATATGGAAAGATTGGAGGTTGTGGGACATTTTGAATATCATGGGTCATTTATTACCAACAATGGTGAAACAATTAAATAAAATTAATGACGTTTATCAATTGCTCTTCAAAGACTAAAACAACTGGAGAAATTATGGAGTGGGACAGGCAGAACTACAAAATTTAGATTTCTATGAGCACACATCTTTACCATTGCAACACACAACTGAGACCCGGACACTTGCCAAACAAGCTAAACAGCGCATACATTCATTTGAATACAGACGGGTTTTAAGAATATCATCGGTAAAGAAAAGAATAAGTGCATCCATACTTCAACAACTGAATACTGAAGACGATTGGCTTTTCTGTCTACCTATATTCTCTTCATGTCGCTGTTGACATATAAGACCTTCACAAATGATCTCCATTGCTGCCGGTCTGCTGCTTTTGTGCCCATGGTATCCCATGTCAGTTTACATTCCTTTATTGCACGTTCTATTGTCCTTCTCCAGGTTTCCTTAGGTCGTCGAAGTTTTCTTTTCCCATCTGCTGTCCACAGGACAGCTGTTTTGGCCAAAGTGTGACAGGGCATTCTGCAAACATGTCCAAGCCATCTCCGTCGTCTTACTTTGATAACATTTTCCAGTGAAGCACATTCTGTGTTCCTCTTCAGTTCTTTATTTGTGATCTTGTTTGGCCAAAATATTTATAGAATTACGTCAGTGCTTTCGACGCAAAAAAAAAAACCCTGGCATACAAGACCTACTTGCCGAAAAAAAAAACATTGCAGATATTGCTCTGAGACTGAATGTTGAATGTTAAATTACGATTCGACATCACAGCACCCAGGACACTCCTATTAGTGCTCCGTCCCCATCTTCAGCAGCAAGCGAAGAACTCCAATTCCGAAGTGTGTGCTGTTCTGAGACACACCTATTCGACAGTTACCCACTGAAAGGACTTAAAGAAACAAAAAGCCAACAGAAAATGGAGAAACGGCCCTAGTCCTCTCAGTGTCAGATACCTGGGCAGCTCCTACTTCTAGCATGCAGGAACACCCCCAAGTCAGCTGCCACACCCTACAACCCTTATCAGGATTCGCGGGATGCAGGGTAGGGGTAGCCAAATGAATGTAGCAATGAAAACAAACACAAATAACAGCAAATACGCCCCCCCCCCTCCCCCAAAATAACCAAACCTTATGTTCTGCATAGAAGTTGGATAAAATAGTTTTCAAGTATTTTTAAATATTGTTTCCGAAGAACAAACGAAAGACAGTATGTGCTCAGGGACACAGTGAAGCAAAAACGACGTCTTTAATTTGACGGGGAGTTTCTCACAGTCACTGTAGAGACAAATGGGCGTTTGTGAATGGATGTGGAGTGACTCAGAGACACAGTACCTGTTTGACACGTATGGCTGGTATATCCTGGCAGGCAGCCACTCAGACATCTACCTGTGATGAAGTCACACTGTCGAGCAGAAGAAGGTGCTTTCTGCTGGCAGTTGTTACTGCAAAAGGACGTACAGTTGTTCCCGTACCTCCCAGGCTGGCAGGCTGAAACATTTGCACATGTCGAAGCATCAACATAGTTTTTAGACCTTTATTTTTAATTCTGAACTAGAAGAACTGATATTTAGCATACTTGCTACATGATTATCAGCGTTCTCCTGAAATGTCCTTGCCTCTACTAAAAAAAAAAAAAAAAAAAAAATACGGGTTTTGTTCTGGTTATTACCACCACCACCAAACCCTTTTGTTTTTTAAATGTCGTTATATTGAATTTTACCAAAAAGTTTGTTAAAAAAAAAAAAAAAACGTGCTAAATAACACAGCACAATGCAAGTGTAGTGGGGGGGGGGGGGGGGGGGGGGGGATGTGAGCACTGACAAATGCAAAGAAAAAATAAGAATTTTACTACATATGACCAAGCTGTCCAAATACTGGTATTCGGTGTCCGTGTCTAAAATCCCCTTGTCAAATTATTATGTTACTTTGTTGGGTACAAAACTTTTACAGCCTGAATCATATAGCCGTTAAATAATGTATAGACCTTTTTTCCGCTTAGACTTGGTTTGGTTTGGTCTATACAACGGATCAACATAATGACGCAAGGGTAGTAACCCATAAGTGCTCCGTTCTACTTCCAACTCAAGCCTGAATCCGAAGTTTCTCAGCACAGTGCACCAACTCCGCAGCGCCGACGAGAATTTTGAAATACTTTAGGTAGATTTGTAACTCCAAATGTTTGTCAGGGCAGCGCCGTTAGGCTAATTTTTTCTATTTACACCAGATGACGTATTGTTTACGTGCACAACAACACAACAATACACATGCCTCTATGCGTGTTGGGCATATCGGGCTAGACCTATATTTGTAAAGACCAATCAGCACCTGGTGGGTGATGTGGTCAGCACTACGCAGGTCGCCTTTACTTCCAAGGACAGCACCTGGTAGCCATTCAAGGCTGGGTCGACCTAGGAGTCAGGGTCATTTTTAAAAAAATCCGGCCTTGTCAGGGCGCGAACCCAAGACCTTCTGATCCGCAGGCGACTTCCCTGAATGTATAGGCTAGGGACACGGTAAATGGAAAAAGATCGCCGTAGATAGACTGGAAATGCTCGGAATTACACAATAAAGATGAATGGACTGCTGTAACTGGACGGGAGTTTACAAGAGGCCTGGCGCAGACGAATGGACTTCTGTGAGTGGACATATTACCTGTCTGACACATTGAGCTAGTATATCCGGGCATGCAGCCATACAGACATCGGCCGGTGATGAAGTCACATCGTGTAGCAGAGGCAGTTCCCGCCTGCTTGCAGTTGCTACTGCACAAGGACGTACAGTTGTTTCCGTACCTCCCGGCTTGACACGCTGAAACAGTGTCATCGATATAAATTATCTGAACTCCGACAAGTTGTATAAAAATAACCTTCCAATATTCATTTCTTTTTCGTAATCATTGTTATGGTTTTTATCATGTCATCTTCCCAGCAGCAACTACAACCTGTCAAACATAATCGAGGTCGTACTACAGGAGTAAGTAAAAAAAAAAAAAAGTAAAGTTCCCTTTTCACGCCTTTCGGCCATCGGGCATATGGGCAGAGCGTCCCATATTTTTACAGACCATCAGCACTCTGTGGGTAATGTGGTCAGCATTACGCCGGCTGTCTTTACTTTCCCAAGACAGCCTAGTACCAACAGCAATATGTGATGTGATCATCAGGAAAGTAGTCATCATTGGGTCATCAAATGCATACTAACCAGTCTAACCCAGTCTCCCACTCATTCAAGATCTGTTGGCCTGACAAACTCAGCGACCATGCCTAATAGGATCTAAACTGGCAAACTCAGCGACCATGCCTAATAGGATCTAAACTGGCAAACTCAGCGACCATGCCTAATAGGATCTAAACTGGCAAACTCAGCGACCATGCCTAATAGGATCTAAACTGGCAAACTCAGCGACCATGCCTAATAGGATCTAAACTGGCAAACTCAGCGACCATGCCTAATAGGATCTAAACTGGCAAACTCGACTAGAGCGGGTTGACAGCATCCAGACACCCCCACCCACCCTCATCTTTGCTGCACACGTCGGGACACAGCAGGATGAAAGAGAAGCAATCAAAGTTGCTGACAGATGGCCGTCTCTGCAAGTTGTTAGTGAAGGGGAAATTATGAACACGGCAGACACAATGAATGCGCCGCCTTTAAGAGATGTAGAGACAAAAGATATAGAGACAATGAAACACCTTTTGGAAGTGAGTATTATTAATAAGAAGAACTTCATTGGGAAGCATGCACAACTGGAGTCCACCGTTCATCAGTAGAGGATTCCTCGACAAAAGGTGTTTCGGCCCATTACCTCCTTGACATCTTAGAGCGTAGCCCCACGCCGGCCGCCGGCACTTCCCAGGACTGCACCTGGTGCCCACTTAAGGCTGGGTCGACCTAGGATTTAAATTTTTGAAAAAAAAGTCCGATGCGAACCCACGATCTTCCAGTCCGTAGAAGTGCGTCTAGCCGCCTACGCCACGTCGACTCCCGTAGTTTTCGGGGGTACTTACAACAATAAGTATGTGGGGTAAAGCGGCCTTCACATTTACTTCATTTGCGTTAGAAATTTTACTTGTCCGTACGACAACCCTGCACAGCGGTCAGACCCACGGGCGGTGTGTCCTCCGATGCAGCCGTCATCCCTGAAGTATTAGAATATCCTACAATTTATGTAGATCTTTAATGTTTTTAGCCATAATTACTGTATCTGTATAACATTTTTTGGGTTTACTCTGCAATTTTTTTTTAATGTATTTATCCTGGCAAGCTAGCTAAGTTCTTTAAACTGCGCAGTGACAAGGTGGAAAGGGGAAAAAGATTAGTTAAACTGCGCAGTGACAAGGTGGAAAGGGGGAAAAAACAACTCCTTGAGTTCCAAGTTCACGCTCGGAGGTAGGCAGAGAATCCACATATTTTTCAGATTTACGGTTTCTGTCATGGAATCAATGCCAAAGGGTTGCGACATCCACATTACCGAGTCAATTTGCCTAATACTCATGTTTTCTGCATAAAACAGAAAAAAAAATGTCCTGTTGTTTACTCAATATTTTCAGTTAATGGATTTATTATTTTCCCCGTCCAAATCAGGTTACAAAAAAGGTATAGTTAGGAAATATATGTCCAAACTCTTTATGTCAAACAGAAACGCCTGCACATGGCAGTCATTTCTTGTGTCCATTGAGTTCACGTGACAGAAGAGATTAAACGGCAATGAGTGGTCTTAGAAGGACTCAAAGGGAACATAAACAAGGTAGGTAAAAAGGTGGGGAGTATCTCATGGATACAGTTTCAAACAACATGTGAATGAATATGGAGCGGTTGAGATACACCAATAAAAGAAGTGGACGTCTGTAAATGAACTAGGAGTGGCCAAGAAAGAAAGTAAAGAGAATGAGCGAAAATGAATGGACGAGGATAGACTAGTTCATAGTAAAAAGATTGGAGGAAAAGTAGCTCAACGAAACACTAAAGATAAATGAGAGCTGCGATCGGACAGGGCGTTGCTTAGACACACATTAAAAAGAAGTACAATACACTGCTGTGGGTGGACGGGGAGTTGTTTAAAGATACAGTACCTGTTTGACACATTTGGCCGGTATATCCTGGCATGCAGCCACTCAGACATCTGCCAGTGACGAAGTCACACCGACGAGCTGAAGAAGTTCCCGTCTGCTGGCAGTTGCTATTGCACAAGGAAGTGCAGTTGTTTCCGTACCTCCCGGGCTGGCAGGCTGAAACAGTTCCATCTGTATGAATTATCTGTTCTACAACAAGTGGCATTAATATTAGCATTCTCCGCGTGTGGGCTCCGGGGCCCAATTGTGAGGAAAAGAAGAAAAGACAAACTGCCTGCCCTAAAGCATATGGTAAGAGTCAACTATTTTGAAGCTACCTACGAAGTCGGAGTACATCTACCTGACAGGCAAGGAACCAGCAGTCTGCATGCAACTGAGTCAACCTATGAAATAGGTGTGCACGCAAAACCCAGTTTCTGAAACACGACTAGAGTCCAGAAATTGTTTAACAGCCAAAACTTTTTACCAAAGTTTACAGCCGGTAAACGTGGTGACAAAAAAAAGGAAGACAAAGATTAATATTACCATGCTATCTCTTTGTCGTAAACACAATTTCACGCTATAATCATCATCACCATAGCCATTCCAGCAACAAATACAACTACAGTCAACATAATGAATGTCTGGTCTCCAGAAAACAGCAGTTTTCCAAAAATGTCATTATCGTCAAAGCAGTTATCGTTTAAATTGTCAGTCTATTGGCTCAAATTAGATACACATAAATAAAATATATATATATAGATGCACACGCCTAATATATATATATATATATATATATATATATATATATATATATATATATATATATATATATATATATATATGAAGTATTTATTCAGTTAACTTATGGTTTGTGAGAGTTGGAAATCATCAGTATCAATCGATAAGAAACTAGTCGCTTTCGAGAATAGATGCCTCCGAAAGCTATTGAATGTTCACTGGTCGGACTTTAGGTCCAATACATCTATAAGACAGGAAACAAAACAAAAATATGTGTCTGATTGATTTATTAGAAAGCGTCGCTGGAATTACATCGGTCACGTACTCAGAATGGACATACAGAGACTTCCCCACCAAGCCTTCGTATGGTCACCAGAGGGTAAAAGAAAACAGGGAAGACCAAAAGAAACTCTCCGTAGAACCATCACAAGGGAGAGCTCAACCATAGGTCTCAGTCGCACTCAAGACCTACATCAAGTGGCAAAGAACCGACAGACGTGGAAAGCTATGACCTCTGCCCTATGCGCCATCTTTGGCACAAGAGGAATAACTAACTAACTAACTAACTATTTATTCAGTTGTGTGTGTGTATGGTTGTTTTTGTGTGTGTGTGTATATCTTATCTATTCGTTTAGCGGTAGATTATGTAATGTCTATTCAGACTGTACACGTTCCGACAATTAAGTAATGTGACTGATTTTATTATGACCAAGACAAAATGCCACCTATGAAGCAAAGCATGGAATCTAAAGAGGCAACATTCATCTATGATCAGGCAACTTTTCATCGCTGCTCGATAAGCAGACAACAAACAAGCCGTCATTTGTTTACCTAGTCAGAGGTGCACTGTTAAAAAGCGCTATTGAAACTGTTTAATTGGTTGGTGCAACAGTTTGGAGAGATAATTCTTTATCTCCTGCACACATTTTCAGGTGGGATTCACGATTCAAAAATGGTGCGAAAATGATTACTAATGCATCTAGACCTGGACGCCAAATTTATGTTTGTAATGATGAACTCATTGCAAAAGTCTAGAACGGATACAAGAAGATCATTGTTTTTCTATGAGGATGATGGCAGATGCATCTGGTGATAACAAAGAGACCATTCATAACATTTTAGTGCGAGATTTTAGCAAGAAAAAAATTTCAGCGGGCTGAATACACAAGAGACATCAAGAAAACAAGAATTTTTGGCCCCAAAACAAGTGTGTGCCATCATCAGTCAACCCTATTCTCTCGTTTATCTCCCTGTGATTATTTTCTATTCCCAAAATTAAAGTTACGATTGAAAGGACGCTTCTTTAACGATATTGATTACATCCGAAGGGCCGTAACATCGACATTAAGGGCCAAAACAACAGAAAAACTACAAAAGTTCCAGTGTTTGTTAGATCGTGTCATTTGCAGTATTAATGCACAAGGGGCTTATTTTGAATTAGATACAGGTTATATCTTCAAATGTTGATTATTTTAATCCTTATGGAATTAGTTTCATTATTTAATAGTCGGACCTTTTACACGTAAAAAAAAAGCTGTGAACTGAAGGGGTGTAACTTATATACGTACGAGTTGAAAAAAAAAAAAAGCTGTAAATGGTTATAAATTCATACTTCTCATTTTAAGAATGAATTTTTTCTTTATTTGAAGCCTCACCCTGGCTCTTGCCGGGGGTCGCAATATAGCCAGGCCATAAATATGGCGTAATGGCTAAACGCGGTTTCTGGAACCTCTTCACGGTGATCCTCATCCACATAGTGGCACATTCTGGTGGGTTAGAAGGTCAGTCAGTCAGTAGATGGAAAGAAGTTCTAACAAATTAGAAATACAGTTACGACGAACGTACACAGTGAACAAAGAAAGACCCCGGGACTCGGTGACGAGAAACAGACGCCTGAAATTGTCAAGGAGTGGTTCAAAGGTACAGTACCTACCTGTTTGACACATTTGACCAGTGTATCCGGGCAAGCAGCCATACAGACAACTGCCGGAGACCAAATCACACCGTCGAGCCGTGGAAGTTCCCGTCTGCTTGCAGTTGCTACTGCACAAGGACGTACAGTTGTTTCCGTATCGCTCAGACTGGCAGGCTGAAAAAGTTCCACTTGTATGAATTATCTGAGATCCAAGTCGCATTAACAGCATAACGTTACATACTCATCTGTCTTAAATAAATGCAATTATAGGTTAGGGTAGCGTCGCAGGTCGACCCAGCCTTAAATGGGTATCAGGATGGCTGTTCTGGGAAAGTAAAGACGGCCGGCGTATTGCTGACCACATTACCTATCTAGTGCCGATTGGTCTGTAAAAATGTGGGTGTTCTTCCCATATGCCCGATGCGCCTAAGGCGTAACAAGGGATCTTTACCTTACTTTATAGACTAGTGTGTGAACTCACAGAGCAAGCTGAAGATTGTTGGAGGTAGGGAGGAAGGGGTTGGGATGTAGTCCACTCTGTTGCAACAGCAGTCAATTTGTATTGGTCGCCTGCATTTGTTGTTGTCTTTAGCCGACATGTTGGATTCTGCCATGCCCACCAGCCGAAACCATTTCACCATTGATAGAGTTCTTGTCATCTTAGTATCAGCTCATGTGTCTACCTTACTCGCTCTCATATATGTCCTGTAATGTGTCCCACAAGTCATGATTTCACAGTATGTGTGATCCATGTAATGGGACATGATGAGCACACATGTAACATCGCTCTGAATATATATAAACGCACACAACCAAGTGCATGCATACACTAGAGCATTCATACCCATACACAATACTATATATTTAAATATATACTGCCTCTCACACATTCCCAAACATATATTTATTGCGTACACAAACATAAAGTTAGTTGCCTATCCTTTACAGGATGTGGCAGAACGAACCTAAGAATATTTTTTTTTTTTTTTTGGTTGTTGCTTTTCTCTACTAATTTTCATTCATTTGTTTAATATCTATTATGTGTTCATTAAGTCGTTGAAAATCAGTTACCGTAACTATTCACTCTTTTTCTTCTTCCTCTTCTTCTTATTCTTCTTCTTCTTTTTCATCATTCTGAGCCCTTGAGGTTCATTGCTGCAGATATCACCCACCTTCATTAATCTCCCTGGTTGGCCTTCTCTTTCCAGTTGGTGACAACAAGTGTTTGCAGGTCTGTCTGGGCAATATCTCTCCATCGTCTTCTTGGTCTGTCGCGTGGTCTACGACCATTCATCCCCCTTGTGTATTTTCACTTCTGTCATATCGCATTCTCTCAATATGGCCTAACCATTTCAGTCTATAAGCTCTCATGATGCCAGTTATTAACACAAATTTACACAGATTATGAATTTTGTTGTTGCTTCTCACTCTCCATTCCTCGCTGTTTGCATCTTTGATGGGTCCAAAGATTCGTCGTAAGACTGTTTTCGAAAACCTGTAATAAGGCTTCATCTCTTTTAGTTCTGCTCCAAGTTTCAAAGCCAAATAAAACGGCTGTCTTAGCAAGGTTTTATATATTTTGATCTTCGTGTTGCGAAACATGAAGTCATTTTATATTCACTCTGTATTAATCTGTCATTTTATATCTATTATCTGTTTATTCAGTAACTGAATATCTATTGTTTGTCAATTTAATCACTAAAAAAGGTATTAAATGTTTTCTCACTCATTTAATATTGATTGTGTTCTCGTTTAGTGTCGACTCTGTGGCTAAGTCTATGCGAACGCTCCGTAATGCCGGGATGCCGGATTTGATCCCAGCCGCAGGCAATGCGCCTTGCGTTGATTTCTTCAGTGGTATCAAGAAAGACGACCGTCCAGAGGCAATGGCAAACTACTAAACGTAAATTTGCCTTGAAAAACCCCACAACAGCCAGGGGCTGTTGGGGTTGGTTCTGCAACGTCCTGTAAAGGATACGCAACTGACCTATTAAAGGTTGCCCTTCTTCTTGTTTAGTAGCTGTATTTTCTATGCATGGCCGCTCAGTCATTGAAGATCTACCGTCTATTTCATGACATCTATTCAGTTAATCAGATTTGTGTGTGCGTGTGTCTGCTAAACAGATTATATTAGCATGTGGACTGCTGAAAGAAGATAAGTTGTCACAACTCAGGACGTCGAAAAGAAAAACCTGTAAATGGCAGTCATACCTCGTGTCCACTGAGTTTACGAGACAGAAGATGAATAAAAAGCCGCGATAAGTAGGGGTCTAAATCAGATAACGCTGAATATAATGGGGCGGCTGTAAATGGACGAAAAGTATTTCCAGAAGGTCCTTCAAACGTTTTTCGACCAAACACACCGTGATTAGCCGTTGATTTATGCTTCGTAATCTTTCATAACCGCTAGTCTAAGTTACAGGGAAGTCACGCTGTGTTCTCTTCGATACTATCACCGGCGATATACCGTGTTCTCTACTACACGATGCGACCGCTTTTAACGACCCCACAACATGTAGAACTGGTACTAACCTCAGTTCACTACGCCACAATCCTGATCCTACCGTCCTACGCTACAGTGCAGCCTACGTCCCGTGGTTTCAGAATTGTTAACATTTTGCATCAACCTTAAAAAATCTTTTTGTTGCAGAAAAGCATCGCTGCTGTCCTTGTCACTCCTCAACGCTTACAGCTGAAGTAAATTCATGTCCTACTTGGAGTCCGGCAAAGCTATAACATACGCAATCTCGCCGGCAGCTCACATCAACCAGTACAACACGAAATATACACGGCTCAGAAGATCGAACACAACACCGCGTCACACCCCTGTATCTTAGACAGCGCGTGTGAAAGATCACAAAGCATGAATTAACGGCCAATCGTGGTGTGCTTGGGGTGGTAAACTTTACTAGCACCCCCTGGGACACAGATAAAAGGCACAAACGTTTCTGAATGAGCTGGGAAGTGCATCAGACACACTGTTAAAAGGAACAGACACTGTAAAAGTTCAGGTTTGTGAGAAACAAACATTTCGAAGTTCGGCGACGTAGAAATGGGGATTGGCTCAAATACACAGTGAAGAGGAACGGAAACAAGGGATGTGAATAGATGGAGAAAGACTAGGGACACCGTAAAAAAATGGTGGGTTGTTAATAAGACAGGGAGTTCTCCAGGGTCAGAGTGAAGAGAATGGGTGGCTGTGGTTGGACGTAGAGTAACTCAGAAACACAGTACCTGTTTGACACATTAGGCCAATATATCCAGGTGAGCAGCCACGCAGACATTTGCCGGTGACATGATCACACGGTCGAGCAGAGGGAGTTCCTGCCTGCTGACAATTGCTACTGCACGAGGACGTACAGTTGTTTCCGTATCTCCCGGACTGGCAAGCTGAAACAGTTCCATGTGAATGAATTATCTGTGCTACCACAAGTGGCATCAACAAAAACATTACCACGTTGATATCTTTCCCGAGATCACAGTTGCATGCCATCATCATTATCATTTACACAACTATACAATATATCTACAATCAACATAATCGATGTTGTAACCAAAGTCTTCAGAATAATGACAGCAATTTGTTATGTCATTCTCATTCAATTCTTGAATCGTTGAATGTCTATTAATTGTTCCTTAATTTTTTTTTATCTTTTACGCGTTTATCTACTTATTGAATGTGTATTATCTGTTCGTTATGTTTTGAGGCATGATTTTCTAGGGATTTTCATACATGCTGCAGGAGATCGCAGATTGTGGAAAGGCATGATCACCCACACCAGTCAGCAAGGCACCTTACGATGATTATTTGTTCACTCATAGGTAACTATCGATTATTGCTAATTTTATCGTTTCATTTTTATATATTTTCATGTAGTGATAGAATACCTAGTGTCTATCCTGTCTATCATTTTAAAAAAAATGTTTAAATCCTTACCAAATCAGGATACAGTAGGAAACCCTAAGAAAGTCTTTCAATGTCAAGACAGAAAAGACTGCATACTGTAGTCATTTCATGTGTCCACTGAGATCAGAATACAGAAGTGAACAAACGGGTGTGAACTTTACGGATGTGACTACAATAAGGGTAAATACAAAAAGACGCCCGTGATAAGACGGGTCGTACTTCTGGGACACAGTAAAGAAGAACAGATGTATATGGGGAAAGCCAGAATGGCACTGATACACATCTACCAGGAAGGGACGCGGTGAGCAAATAAACGAAGACAGACTCAGAGGACATAGTGACGAGAAACTGATGGTTGGGGATTACATGGAGTGGTTCCAGTGCACAGTACCTGTCTGACACATTTGACCGGTGTATCCGGGCAAGCAGCCACGCAGACAACTGCCTGTGACAAAGTTACACCGTCGAGCTAAGGGAGTTCCCGCCTGCTGGCAATTGTTACTGCATAACGACGAACAGTTGTTTCCGTATCTCTCAGGCTGGCAGGCTGAAACAATTGTATCTTTATCAATTATCTGAGCTCATCCTTTCTGGTAATAATAAATATCATTGCTATCATTATCATATTAACATTTACCATAACCAACATCATGGAGGTAGTAATCAAAACCTTGAGAATAATGAAAAGTCTTGATATGGACGTTCAGCGGTTTTCGTACGATATCACATCGTCGAGCAGAGAGATTTCCCGCGTGCTAGCAGTTGCTACTGCACAAGCACATACAGTTGTTTCTGTATCGCTCAGACTAGCAGGCTAAAAAAAAAATTCCACCTGTGTGAATCTGAGATCCAAGTGGCGTTAACAGCATAACGTTACATACTCATCTCTCACATATAATGACAATTATTGTTGCTATCCTGACCATCAAGGTGAGCTGACCTAAAACACCCTCTGCCAGCTTGAAACAGGGAGACATCATCACTTGTTTAGTAGGAGGTAGGATATTAGTTATTATGTCTCAGAATTAGCAAGTTCAGGCAACCTTGATATTCTCTTTTCTAGAACCTTCGTTTGGCATTAATAGAGACATATTTTGCAAATGAATAATCTATAAATAGTGTATGATGTCATTGTTGACGTGCCCTTCCAAAGAGAAACAAAGTAGTACTGGCTTTCTAGAAGTCTTTATGAGGTCGGCTGTCAATTTAATTACCATAATAAGGCTCAGAATAAGATGATGAAATATTATGCAATCGAGATCTAATTAAAAAAAATCAAACATGAGAACGTACATAGTAATTAAGTTGAGCCTACTAGAATATTCTAGAAGCAGTCAAAGTTAGAAGAAAACAAATACCTATCATTCCAGCATCTAAGTATAAATAATGAATAAGAATCTAGTTAAGATCCTTCAGTTTGCCAGACTTAGAAGAGGAGGGTCGAGTCATATGTACCCTCAAAGAAATCGTTCAGTTTATCAGACTTAAATAAGGAGGGACTAGTAACAGAGGGTCAGCTCAACACTAGAGGAACCAGTCACATGGAGCCTTGAAAACAGACACCAGAGAGGAGACATAAAACAAGACATCGAACTACAAAGATAACACACAAGATACATGGATGAATGGTCAACAGAGACACATTAGGTAGGAACACTATTGAGATGTTAGAGTCGACGATTAGGCCATTAGTACTAGGCAACACTAGAAGCCGGGTGGCAGTTACAGACACTAGAACCAGTTAACAAAGTAACTAGAAATGAAGAACACAACGCGACCTCAAGAGTATGTATCAGATGTCACAAGGTCACTTGTATGAATGACGGAGCAGAAAGCAACTCGCGCATTGATAGTTTTAGACTCAGTGAACATGCTTAAAATATACAAACTGGCACACTCCGACAATACTGGAAATTGCGATGTTGTACGCGAGGCTTTCTCTTTTCAAACAGGGTCTATTAAGTTGCAATAAAACCTCACCGACCAACTCTTCTTAACTCTCACTACAGACAAATTCTGTATATATTTTGAAGCCACCTGGGCGTCAATGCTTATATCAGCTCTTGCACTCTGACTGTTTCATCAGTTGTCCATTCTTGGCATCCTAGATTTAAAACAACTATCACTCAATGCAACCCTTTTTTTTTTTAATGACACTGTAATAACTTTCTCATCATGTGCTATTTTGTCAGTAGTACAAACATTTCTTATACCAACGTCTGTTTGTGCCATCAGTGTGCCAACAATGAGTATGTCTCGAGGAAATAATCGGTTGCCAGAAGTGTACAGAGCATTGCGCGTTTCTCCTTGCTCGCTGATGCGATCACTTTTGAAGTATGAGCCATTTCTCTTATCTTAAAAAGAAATCAAAAATGACTCCTTGATGTGCCAGTAGTACATTATCTCTCTTGATGTTAGTGATAGAGTTAGGAGTGGCTTAAAAAAATACTGTTAAAAAATGAACGAGCAGTGTAACTGAACGGGAAGTAGATCAAACACACAATGAAGAGGAAATGGTAAATGTGAATAGTCGGGGAATGGCTGGGGACACGGTAAATAAAAATAGGCAGTTGCAAATAGATGCAGAGTGTCATAGTGAAGTGACATAGCTGGGTGTGGTTGTAAGTTGAGTGGCTCAGAGACACAGTACCTGTCTGACACGAAAAGCCGGTATATCCTGGCAGGCAGCCATTCAGACATTTGCCTGTGACGAAGTCACATCGCCGAGCAGAGGAAGTGCCCGACTGTTGGCAGTTGTTGCTGCACGAGGAATTACAGTTGTATCCATACTTCTCGGACTGGCAGGCTGAAACATTTGCATCTATACCATTTTTCTGAGCTCCAACAAATGACTCTACCATAAATATCTCTTCCTGGTAATCAGAATTAACATTCATACCATTATCAACATCCACATCGTCATCGATTATTGTCTTTGTCGCCTCCCTCCCACCTCCACCCAAGCAACTGTACATGTGACCAACCACGTCCGGCTGTAAATATACAGTCCTGACAACTGAATCAAGGTACATTTTGGAGGAGTCCCCTCGAAAAAAAATCTGGAGCTGGTCGTGAACCAACATAATCGCTGTCTTAATCAAAACATCTTAAAAGTTAACAGTAATTTTCGATGTGATCATCATCAAATAGTCATGATTTAGTCGTTGAATGTCTATTTTAATTGTTTGTTTATTCACTGTATATGAATTATAATGTTCACTCAATTGTTGAATTGCTATTGTGTAATTTATTCGATCACTGAATTTATTCGTTCCTTATCCCCTTGTGCCATCATACGTCACATGTGGCTCGCAATCTATTTGTCCATTTCATTCTATCCTATGAAATTAGTCCGTCACATTTCTCTTCTCTCCTCAACCGTCCTTTTTCGGTTTTTTTTCGTGCTTCCATGATCCTTTTATTTCCAATTGAAATGACTGTTTAATGATTCTCCGTTCGTTTCTTCTCAGGGGGAATTACATATAGCCCTCTTTTTCTCTGTCTTATAACTGTTTACACTAGAGGTTGCTTGAACATTTCTTTTATTTCTTCAGTCTTTTAAATCCCACCCATTTGATATTCGTCATTTCCCATAGGTATTTGATTTTGATATCATTTAAACTTTCGTTTAACGTATTTAGTCGTTTTCCAAAATTCACTGACATATGTTAAAAATGAAATGACATTAGAACTGGGAATATCATAATTTGTTTTTTAACATTATATAATTTAGAGCTCAATTTTTGTACAGGCTAATAAAAGCTGTTGATGCCCTGCCAGCGCGTATCATCATTTTTTTAATCATTTTTTTTTTTTTTTTGGCACTTTCTTCACTGTAAAAATTACAACGTAAATAAGTAAATTGATCTGTTATTTCATTCACTTTCGTCTCTAGTGTTACATCTGCAAGATTTGTTTGTTGGTTTCTTTCAAATATTTGTCTTTTCATAATCTCCTTGTATTCCAACATTTGATGCCTTATTTGCTAAATCGTCCGTTTTTCTTTGTGTGTCATTGCTGTTTTTACTTAGCAGAACTATATCAGCAAAATCGATACCTTCGAACAATGTGTTCTTCCAAAATATTTTCACAACCTCAGCAATGATTATGTTTAATAACGGGTAAGTATGGGTCATGATGTAGCTTAAGAAATTTTGTTAAATCCTCAATCTATTGGTAGGAAGTTACATTATGAATTCACTCACAGATAAGTAATTTCTAAGAGTAGTAAAACCCTTTTTTTTTCAGGACCTAGTAGGTAGAAAAGCCACATTTCTTTTAGATTTACGGTATTTACAATGGAATCCAGGCCAAACGGTTGCGATATCCATAATACCGAGCCTAAGGGTTAACAACTCATGGCTTCTGGATACTAAAACAAAGGAACAAACATTAAACTGCAATTGATATTTGGGGAAAGAAACATGGCGCGTTCAGTCAGAGGATCACCTGGATTATTCATTTCGCGCCTTGGGCCGGGCCATGAAAGTTTTAGGTACTACCTGCTTGTCAGCGGCAGTTCCGTCTTGACTGTCGGAGGTAACCAAAGGGTTTGGTTATGGGAAAAAATATACTCTCTATTGTATCGTAAAGTTACGTCATAGGAGGTAGTATTTTCAAACCGCCCTCGTATCACCTGGTCACCGATTAACTGAATATCTGTTACCCATGCCTGTATTCATTGTATGTCAGTCTATGCGTCTCTCTGAAAACCTGATATTGTGTTGTCAATGGTTGCATGTCTTTTATGTGTTTTTACATTCATTTAACCTCTTTTATGTGTTCATTTACATACACATGCGAGTCGTAGATTATCTCACATAACTCAAAGAACTAAATAGGGGCTTTTGTGCTGAACTTCTATAGATTACTATGATCATCAACAACAACAACAACAACAACAAAGAAATTAGAGCATCCTAAAAACTTCTGAATAACAAGGAAGACTATCGAAAACAGCATATAGTCTTTGCAACTGAAATATTTAGTTATGTTCAAGTGTCCCTTCTGAACCGAAGAGTATCATAATTCATGGTAATAGGAAAGAAGGTGGATGCCGACCAGTATGAAGATGAGCACATGATGTAAGTAACACTCTGAGTGAACAAAGCGTGCGATTCGGCGACAGACTTAAGTTTCAAACATGCAAACTGTGCTGGCAGCGACGTACTGCTCAGGATCTGTTACAAGACAATGATGATCTGTTTATTCGTGCGTTAAATGTTTATAATCAGCTGCGTATAATAGTTTAATAACAATCAGCTGCGTATAAATTATGTGTTAGTTTAAAAACAATCAGCTGCGTATAAATTATGTGTTAGTTTAAAAACAATCAGCTGCGTATAAATTATGTGTTAGTTTAATAACAATCAGCTAGGTATAAATTATGTGTTAGTTTAATAACAATCAGCTGGGTATAAATTATGTGTTAGTTTAATAACAATCAGCTGCGTATAAATTATGTGTTAGTTTAATAACAATCAGCTGCGTATAAATTATGTGTTAGTTTAATAACAATTAGCTGCGTATAAATTATGTGTTAGTTTAATAACAATCAGCTTCGTATAAATTATGTGTTAGTTTAATAACAATCAGCTGCGTATAAATTATGTGTTAGTTTAATAACAATCAGCTGCGTATAAATTATGTGTTAGTTTAATAACAATCAGCTGCGTATAAATTATGTGTTAGTTTAATAACAATCAGCTGCGTATAAATTATGTGTTAGTTTAAAAAGCATAAATTATGGTTAGTTTAATAGCTGGGTATAAATTATGTGTTAGTTTAATAACAATCAGCTGCGCATAAATTATGTGTTAGTTTGAAAACAATCAGCTGCGCATAAATTATGTGTTAGTTTAATAACAATTAGCTGCGTATAAATTATGTGTTAGTTTAATAACAATCAGATGCGTATAAATTATGTGTTAGTTTAATAACAATTAGCTGCGTATAAATTATGTGTTAGTTTAAAAACAATCAGCTGGGTATAAATTATGTGTTAGTTTAATAACAATCAGCTGCGTATAAATTATGTGTTAGTTTGAAAACAATCAGCTGCGCATAAATTATGTGTTAGTGTAATAACTGAATGAAAATTATTTTCCCCATATTTTGAAGAAAAACAGAAGTAGTATGTGTTAATGTTGTTGTTTAATACGTGTTAACCATTTACTGATTCATTGATTATCTATTAATTGTTCACCCATTCATTGAATATATATTGTGTTTATTCAATCCCTGAATATTTGACACTTGTTCTAACCGATATTTGATGAATATCGATTATGTAGATTTCCATTAGTTGACTACCGTCATCTGTTCCCGCATTCATTGAATATACTGGTTAAGTAAAGAATTGTTTTCCGCGCTTTTCATGCTTATTGGATGTATAGGGCTTAACCTATATTTTATAGACCAAACGAAACTTGGTGGGCGATGTGGTCAGCATCACGCCAGTCAGCTTTTCTTCCCATGACTGTACCTCGTACCCACTCTAGGCTGGGTCGACCTGGGAGCCAGTGTGTCATTTTTGAAAAAAAAAAAAAATAAAACCGGCCCTCGCTAGGAACCGTAACCACAAACTTGCGATCCTCAGGCGAACTTCCTTGAATATACTGGTGATTATGTTTATCAATATTATCAGTCTAATCATGGTGAAAAAGGAAATACCACAGGAGTCTAAGATGTCTAAACTCATCAGGTGTGAACAGACAAGCCTCTGTATGGTTGTCACATTTCGTCTGTCCATCGGGAAAATAGGTCGGAAGAGATACAAACAGCGATGAACGGACCTGGTGTGACTAAGATGAAGGGAATTCCACTGGGGCACAGGCAAGAGGAATAGATGCATGTGAATTAAACAATTAGTTCCTAGCAATAGGAACCGGCGGCTGTAAATGAATGGGGATTGGTTAGATACACACTAAAACGTGTACGGTTATGAATATACGTGCACCGGTTAATGAACAGAGTGAAGACGGACGGTCTGGTGTGAATAGACGGAGAAATAGCTAGTGACAAAGTGAAGAACACTGGTTGGTTGTTAATAGACAAGGATTGGCTCAGGGACACGGGAGTAGCTAATGACTCAGTAAAGAATAATGGTTTGTTGTAATCAGATGTGTTACCCATGGACACACTGAAGAGGAACGGCCAGGTGTGAACAGGGAGTGGCTCAAAAAAACAGTACCTGTATTACACGTTTGGCCAGTATATCCTGGCAGACAGCCACGCAGACATCGTCCTGTGATGAAGTCACATCGTCGAGCAGAGGGAGTTCCTGCCAGCTGGCAGTTGCTACTGCACAAGGACGTACAGTTGTTTCCGTACCTCCCAGGCTGGCAAGCTGAAACAATTCGATCTGTATAGATTTAATGTGCTCCGACAAGTGACATCAACAGTAACATTACCATATTATTTCTTTTTTCCCTAATCACAATTGCACGCTGTCGTCATAATCATCATCATCATCATCATTAGCAGTATATCTATGCTAGCAGCAACAACAACAACAACAACAACAAAAACACACACAAAAAATCGAAAATTTGCATAATTAGTTCATTTAGTTATTGAACTGAACACCTATAACATGTTCATTGATCTATTAAATATATATTACCCATTTTCCTTTTCGTTTAATAATCTTATGTGCTCATTCAGTGTTCAATCAATATGCCGGTGTGTTGGGAAAGGAGCAGGCAGAAAGACTGGCTGGCTCTGCACCACTTGGTGGTAAATAGATGTATGACAAGTTAAATATTGTGAGGGCCCTTTGGGAACTGGTTTAGCAGTGCGGAGGCGCAGATGGATGGATCATTACGGTCTGAGGAGAACTGCGCTGCGAGGAGTTACCAAGGGATCTGGCCGACGCTCAACACTCAGGGGAAGGATGAGACGGATATACAGTCAGACTGTTACTGGCACATTCGAAATTGGAACTCCTCGCTTACTGCTAAGGATGTGGACTGAACACTCATTGGAGTGTCCCGAATTCTGTGATGTGGATTCTTAATTCAACATTCAACATGTGTTTATTTATGCATTGACTATTTATTATGTGCTGTTATAGTCGTTAAATATATAATATCTGCTTACTCATTCCTTCTTCTTTCTTTTTAGTTTTGTTTTTTAGTTGTCTCAGTGACACTAGGTTGTTGCCTAGTGTCATGGTTTTCTATATTTGTCCTGCGCTTCTCGCGTGGCTTGGGTGCAGGATTTGTTCATTTTGTTTGCAGGTTTCTGCCACAACATTTATCCACGTCTTTCTTGGTCTTCCTCCCCGCCCCCACTCCCCGTATGTTCTTTTGTAAAAAGTCTCATATGCAGTTTATCTAACTGCATTATCACTACATGGCTGAACAATCTTCTTGCGTTGTTAGTGACCGTGCGGAGACAACGCATTCACATGTGGTTATTTTCTGTTTAGTGCCCTGTTCATTGTCCATGTTTATCACTAATAACATAACGTAGGGATAACTTATTCATTACATATCTATTATGCATTAATTCAAAACTGAATATCTGTTGTTTTTTCGGGAAAAAGTAACAGATCTTGCTCCTATTGGAAAAGGAAGTCCCCTCATGATTTGCCGATATGTTCTTGCCAGTAAAAACGCCAGTTTTCCTTCAAGAAACACTTAGTGATCAAAATTATAAATTATATCAAACATTTAGCCCTCTAAAGGCATCTGTTGAAGCAGCTGTGTGAAGACACGAGTCCACTTATCAGGCTTTTTCGTTTTCTTCTATATTAACAAATATTGATAGTCAAAATTATATGTGGTCACATTTTTCATGTTTAATAAAGAAGAAATTATGTTATTCCTGGAAGTTCAAAATAAAAATGAACATGCAGGCTATTTGTAACTATGAAGCTTGTTTGAGAAGTGCTTACTCACCAGACAAAGAAGAACAGCAGAGTAGTTCATGTTTAAGTTTATTCAACGGATCAACATCATGGCACACGGGTGCTCCTTTCTACTTCTAACTCAGGCCTGAGTCCAAAGAATCTCAGCGCAAGTCACGAGCTTCGTAGCACCGGCAAGGATCATGAAATGCTTTGGGTAGATTTTTAACTCCAAATTTTACCCGGGCAGCGCGGTTAGGCTCTTCTTTTCGATTTCCAACTGCCAAGGGATTTTTCTTACTTACGCAAAAGACAGTGAAGAGGAACAGCCTGCTAGGAATTGACAGGAATTAGATAGGGTGACAGTAAAGAGGAATGAAAGGCAGCAAATAGACGGGCGTTGCTGACGTAAACACTAAAGAGAAATGAACGGCAGTGAATAAACAAGCGTAGCTCCATGTCACATTAAAGAGGAGTTAACGGTTGTAAATAGACGGGCGTTGCTCACGTAAACAGTAAAGACAAATGAATGGCTGTAAATAAACAGGCGTGGCTCATGGACACAGTAAAGAGGAATGAACGGCTGTAAATAGACGGGCGTTGCTCACGTAAACACTAAAGAGAAATGAACGGCTGTAAATAGACGGGCGTTGCTGACGTAAACACTAAAGAGAAATGAACGGCTGTAAATAGACGGGCGTTGCTCACGTAAACACTAAAGAGAAATGAACGGCTGTAAATAAACAGGCGTAGCTCCATGGCACAGTAAAGAGTGATGAAAGGTTGTAAATAAACGGGCGTTGCTCATGGACACAGTGAGGAGCAGCAGCCAGAGTAGCGACTCAAGGACACAGTACCTGTTTCACATTTTTGGTCGTCATATCCGGGCATGCAACCACTCAGACATCTGCCTGTGATGAAGTCACACCGGGTAGCAGAGGAAGTGCCCGCCTGCTGGCAGTGGCTACTGCACACGGACGTGCAGCCGTTTCCGTATCTGCCGGGTTGGCAGGCTGAAATAGTTTCATATATCTGAATTATCTTGGCTCTAATAAGTGGCATTCCCAGTCATAGGACTATGCTCATCTCTTTCCCATTGCTATCATAATCATTTCCACCATATTTTTCAGTATCAACATATTAATCATCATCAGCATCATTGATTTAGAAGAACAAACATAAACAACCAATATAACCAATGTCGTAATCAAAATCCTATTAATATATATAGTCGGTTCTGTGGCTAAGTCGATGCGAACGCTTCGTAATGCCCGCATGCCGGGTTCGATCCCACCTGCGGGCCAAGCGGCATAGCGTTGGTTTCGACAGTGGTATCAAGAAAGCCGACCGTCAAGAAAGCAATGGCACACTGCTGGACGTAAAATTGCCTAGAAAAACCACACGTTCTGCAACGTCCTGTAGAGGATACGCAACTAACCATAGACAACAACTATTGAAGTAATCATCGTCAGTTCTGTCCTTGATCAGTCATTGACAATCTATGAACTGTTCTTTCTTTCGTTAAAACTACTGTCTGTGTTCAATCATTATTTGAATATTTATTTTTCTGTTCTCTCAATCTCCGTTATGTATTTATTCAACATATTTACATGTTCACTGATTCATTGAATGTATATTTCCTTCAGTCGTGGGAAATTCAGTCTGTTTAGTCAGTGATGTAATATCTTCTGTCTTTCCAACACCGGGAGTCGCCGAGGCATTTGCGGCTAGACGCCCGCTTGCGGATCGGAAGGTCGTAGGTTCGCGTCCTGATTGAGCCGGACTTTTTTCAAAATGACCTTGACTTCCAGGTTGAGCCAGCCTTGAGTGGTTGCCAGGTGCAGTCCTGGGAAGTAAAGTCGACTGGTGTGATGCTGATAACATCACCCACCAAGTGCCGATTGGTCTATACAAATATAAGTCTAGCCCTCTATTCCCAATTCGCCTAATGGCGTGAACAAGTAACTAATTATTCTATAATTACCTATATTTTTTTTTGGTCTGCATAGTGAACCAAGCTAATATTGAGAATGCAGTCTATGCCTAAGATGTCTCTACTCTGCATTTCGCATTAGAAAAGCTAAATCGTGGTAGTCATATCTGAAACCACTGAGTTGGCCAGACAGAGAAGGAATGTCTATTCATTCATTAACGTTTTTGGTCTGCATATTAAACCATAAAAATAATGAGACTACATACTATGTGTATATGTATACAAAGGCCAGTGGCAGCCAGCGTGCACTGGATCGCCAACTATTCCTCCCCACTACACTTACCGACAGAAGTGGTTTATGATGATGATGATGATTACATACTATGTCAAGTATTGTAACGGATCAAATTAGCCTGAAGCTTGAAGTCATATCTGAAACTACGGAGTTCACTAGACAAATGGAACAAATATGTGTAAATGGAAGGATGTGACTCAGGGCAAGTGGTAATTAAGTGTGACTGTAAATAGACGGTGAGTCGTCAGGGACGGATGGGTGACCATGAATGGATGTTGTGTGACATAGAGACCCTGTACCTGTTTGACACATTATCCCGGTATATCCCGGCATGCATCCACTCAGACATCTGCCTGTGGCGATGTCACACCGTCGAGCAGAGGCAGCGCCCGCCTGCTTGCAGGTGCTACTGCACAAGGACGAACAGTTGTTTCCGTACCTCCCGGTCTCGCAGCCTGAAACAGTTTCATCGAAATAAATTATCTGAATTCCAAGTACATTACCGTTGACATTGTATATATCTAGAGCCGGCCGTGACTTCATCTATGATCTTCACCAGATAATTCATTGCACTGTTTAAATTAGTTCAGTTGACTTCGAAGTGCTCCAAGTAAACCGTGCAGTCAGTAGACAAATCTTGTGGGTGCGCGATTTCTGTTTTCTCTAAGCGACGTCACGTCATTCCTACAGCACCGTCCGTATACACACACTGACGCATTTGCCCCGGTCCAAGCCCAGCGCATCTACATTCTTTGGCCATGTGATGAGAAGGAGAAAACTGGAGTACATTGTGACAGTCGGAAAGCTGGAGGGAAGCAGAGGCAGAGGGAGACCGAGAAAAAAGATGGTGGACAGTTTAACATCACGGCAAGGAGGTTCATCTGTCACGGAGTTGACTGAAAGTACACGAGACAGAGTGTTGTGGGTAGACATGACTATCAACGCCATACTGCATGGACTTTGAGGAGAAGAAGATGCCAAACGCTTAAAAAATAATATCTATGCGGAGCAATAACTAGATCTCAGCTAGTGCTTCGTCCAGGGAAGTCAGGATACCAGGGAAGTCAGGATAACAAAGAAGTTTTTCCCTCATATGTTCATCTTCATTATACCTACAAAGCAAAGGACAGCGTGGTAGCTCACATTAGTTGATTTATCAAGTAGGATCGCAAACAAACTCGACTTCCATATCCCTTCTACAATTTGGTTTTAAAAATTGGCTAAGTCAAAAAACATATCTTTAAATCGTGGTGTCCGTAAGCGGCATGAGAACATACAATTATGACTACGACATCTAAGAGGAATCATTTACGATTATTGTCCTGTTGTGCCATTATTTGTCACATAGCGCTGCAGTCAAATCCTCCATTCCATCCTATCCTATACAATCAGTTCAATACCATGGATGGAATTCAGCCAAGCACCTTTGGTCACTCTTATCAGCGTTCGTTCTTAAGTTTCTTTCGGGCGTCTTCGCCTTTATGTTTCCTTTATTTTCAATTTTAGATCTTGTGCCTTCCCTGAACGTGTCCAATAGAGCGCCAAATGCTCTGTCTTAATGGCTACTGATACTAGTGGTATCCACAGTTACATCTAAGATGTATGGCTACACTATCTCCTCACCATAGCGTACTTTTTTTAGGCAATTAACATGCGACGTCCGTGGCTAAGGCGTTGCGAGTCTGACTCGTAATCTAACGTACGGCGATTGAAACACACTGCAGGCTGCGCGGATTTTTATCGTGGTATGGGACGTCGCAGATCGACCCAGCCTCAAATGGGTACAAGGATGGGCTGTTCTGGGAAAGTAAAGACGGCCGTCGTAATGCTGACCAAATTACCCACGAGTGCCGAATGGTCTTTAAAATATGGGTGCTCTTCCCATATGCCCGATGCGCCTGAGGGCGTATATAGGGATCTTTACTTACTCAACATAGCAAATAGATAAGAACCAGGAGGCAGCGACTTGTCACTAGTTGTCATCACTTCACATTTTTTTTTTTCAAATTACTAATCAGCATGTCGTAAGAGTCACTAATTTACAGCTTCCTTCGAAGTTGGAGTTTATTTGCTTGAGAGACAACGTACCAACAGTATGCATTAAGTGAGAAAGATCTTTAAAAAAAAGGTGTGCCACGCAGCACTCAGTTTCAGGACCAATACTATAGCCAGGTGGGACTAAAAAAGGAAAGGAAGAAGACTTTCATTTGAATACCTTTTTATAAATATCTAGTCACTAGCCTTTGAAAAATAGTAGTGGCTTACAGATAAAATATATCAGCTCTGAATAAAATCGACAGGCACACTGAGCAGGCTTATTTGCCTCGTTTGTCCTAATTTCTGAACATTCAACATATAAGCAGTGGAGACAGTTTAGCGGTGACTGCCTGACACTACACTGAAGCCATACTTGTTTATAGTGCCATATTGTCTAGGAGGGGGAGGTTGAAGGGGAGGGGTGGAAGCGCGGTGTGCGGATTGCATATTTTGGACCTTTGACATATATTTCTGTCTTTGTTTATTCTCAACTTGGGCATATTTAATGCATCATTATAACTGTTCTCATGAATGCTGTCCTAGCCTTTACTCATGAAGGTTGAAAGATTGTATTGTCCTAGTTTTATGTCGCCATCTTTGAAGTTGCTTAAACAGCACAGCAAGTCATTAGAAAAACAAATACTATGACATTAGATTGTTAGGATATGTGGCCAGGTAGGGCAAAAGCATTGATGATATTCAATGGCCTTGTCTAAAATTCTGGTGCCAAATTAACACATCAATTTTGTCACGTACGACGCCACACTGGCTTGTGTAGCCACTGCTGGATTTATATAATCTTTTTTTTTCCTTCAGCCTTCTTCTTCTTCTTTCGTTTGCCTGAAAAAGTAGTCTATATCAGCAATTTTGTCTCTTGTATAAACTTCACGGTTGTTGTTAATTCATTCAGTGGTCCATAGATTTTACTTTCCACTGTTTTTCTTCCCGGCCAAAAGGTTTGCCTTAATGTGTCAAATTCGCTGCAGTCCTGAAGTAAATGCTCTGCTGTCTGGGGCAGCTTTCCACAGGTGCACATTGCTGATACGCTAATGACTGATGGTTACGCAGCCGCCTGATGTCCAGATATGACTAAATTATGCGGTTGATTAGAGTTTCTGCCAAAAATAACTGCTCAATCCTCATCTTTGCTGTGTTATATCTACTGCATTCCTAGATGACGAAAACCGTTACATTGACTTCTTGCTCGCGCTCGCCGGCTGCAAACTCCAGCAAAAGTTTCTGTCTGGTCATCCACTTCAGGACTAAAGTCCTCTTCCAGGAACTGAGTGTTGCCTGCACATTTGTTTCACAGATCTCATTCATTTGCATGCAGACTGTTGGTTCTTTGCTTCTCTGACTTCAAAGGAAGCTTCTAATTAGTCGACTTTTACGAGATGGTTTTGGGCGGGCAGTGGCTCTATCCTTGTTTTCCCCACAATGGGGCACCGGAAACCAGGCAAGGAACCCCGTTACATCATTACCATAATCATCATCTACATTATAGTCATCATTGTCGTCGTCGTCATCTTAGGCACAGTTATAACAACAGCCAACATAATCGATAACACAATACTCTTCAAGAATAATGACAGCATATGTTTGATGGTCTAAGCTCGATATGTTTGAACATGAAAACCTGCATGTGATAGTCATATCCTATGTCCGCTGAGTTTAAAAGACAGTAGAGGATCAAACGGCTGCCAATGGATGGGTTGCTGATTAGATAACGGTGAAATTAAAAAGGACGTCTGCAATTGAGAGAACATCACATCAGCGACTGGTTCGCCCACTGGCTCGCCAGTAGACGACTTGGTCGCTGGTATTGGGTCTATCCCATTTGATCGCATAAACACTGCAAGGGAGTCGTTCTCGGGGCTCCTGATGACGTGCAATACTACGTCATTTTATATGGCTCACATAACTAGTCACAATAATAACCTAAAGCTGCCCCTTCGGGGATGCTAGTTCGACGTGATTATTTTTTTTTAAGCACAGCAACGGGACGTACGTGCATCGGGGACCCAATCGAGAATATGTGCTTTTGTGAATGAACGGGAGTGGTTCAGATAACAAGTTAAGAGGGGCGGACGTTATGATGGATCAAGAAATCGCTCACGGAATCGGTAAAGGAGTACGGGTGGTTTTAAATAGGCAGTGACTGGCGACGCAGACAGTGAAGATAAATTGCCGGATGTAAATAAATGCGGAGCTTCTCAGAAACACGCACTGAAGAGGATCGGATGGCCGTGAATGACCGGGCAGTACCCAAGTCATGTCCAGAGGAAAGGAGAGTTGTGAATGGACAGGGAATGATTCAAGGACACATTACCTGTTTGACACGTTTGGCTGATATATCCGGGCATGCAGCCACTCAGACACCTGCCTGTGATAAAGTCACATCGTGTGGCAGAGGATGTTCCCGCCTGCTTGCAGTTGCTACTACACGAGGACGTACAGTTGTTTCCGTACCTCCCAGACTGGCAGGCTGAAATAGTTTTAATAGGTATAAATTATCTGAACTCCGAAGTATGGCATCAACGGTAACCTTACAATCTTCATTTCTTTCACGCAGTCAGTCATCATCATCAGTCTCACAATCATCAACAGTAGCATTGACATCATTATTTACATCCTTCCAACATCAAATACAACTAATCCAACATAACAAAGGTCGTAATCAAAACCGAAAACATAACAGCAATTATCGATGTGATTATCATGAATGCAATCATCTTTTCGTCTTCGAAAGTATATTAACTGATTTTCTCAGTCAATAATAATCTATTATATGTTCGTTTATTAAGGGAATGGATGACTCAGTAAACATGTTTTAGAACATTCAGACTAGCACTCCGACTAGAATGTGTTAACAGCGCCCAGAAATCCAGCCTGTAGAAACACATATGGCTGTATACACCAAAATACTGAAACCAGAGACTATAGCTATGTCTGCAGTAATTAGGTAAAGTAACCTTTTCCGCCATCATATGTTGTGTACATGTAGAGATAGGCCGATATTTTATAGACCAATCGACACTTGATGGTTGATACGGTCAGCATTACAATCAGATTGAAGAATCAGAACTTTCCGACGAAGGTTACACCAGTCAAAACGAAGAAGAAAGTTCACAATCGTTCCAGAACCTCTGTATTGGGCTGTTGACTGTTTTTTTCGTACGTATATCCCCCTGTCTAGAAACTCCCTCCAATTTAACTCTTTTAGTCCCAAGGAACGCATCATACGTTCATAGGTTCCTACCTAGAAGCAAAATGAACGCATGATGCGCCGATTTTATTACTTTCTTTACCCTGGGCCTGTGATTAAACCCCCTGGGACTTTAAGAGTTAATAGTTGGCTGCTCCCTGTCCTAATTTCTGCACCACCCAGCCGAGTCGTGTGTACATAATCTCTAGCGAATCTCACCCTGGCTGTCAGTAATTCTTTTGCATCCTATTGGAGATACTGTTAGCCATTCCTATTCTCTTTTGATTTCTGTTTCACTTCTGGAATCGTCTTCTACTATATGTCCAAGAAATGATAAACGTTTTCTAATTTCTCCCTGTTTACTGTGATGTTTACTGTTGGTGGCTCTTTTCTATTGTACTGTCAATGTGTCAAGCCGTCTCTACACTTAACCCATTGAATTAATCAATTTGCGTCTTCTGCCGTTGATCTTTCCAGTCATCATGATGTTCTCCAAAGCCTCGCCGCTCATCACGTGACCAACAAATCTCGATTGCCTCTTTCTCATAGTTTAATTGAAAATTTTAGTTTCATAAACCATTTCCATGCGGCGTCCGTGGCTAAGGCGTTGCAAGTCCGACTCGTTAGCCAGCATACCGCGATCGAAACCCACTGCAGGCTGCGTGGATTATTGTCGTGGTATGGGACGTCGCAGGTCGACCCAGCCTAAAATGGGTACCAGGATGGGCTATCCTGGGAAAGTAAAGACAGCCGGCGTAATGCTGACCACATTACCCACAGAGTGCTGATGATCTGCAAAAATATGGGACGCTCTGCCCATATGCCCGATGCGCCGAAAGGCGTGTAAAGGGATCTTTACTTTTTTTTTTTTAAAACCATTTCCATGCAGTCGTCGTTAGCGACTCTTAGTTAATTCACATTTCAAGATCTACAGCCATGCAGCAGAAGTTGCAACATAACATTTGAGTATTCCACCTATCATGTTTAATAAAAGATAAGTGGTATGAAATATTCGTCATCTTTACAAATGCCACTTTCTCATAGCATATCCTGCACCGTAAAGGTAACGTCGGGAGAAGGGAACCAGCGTCATTGCAAACGGTTATAAACCATAAGTGCTCTGCCACCAGTGCGGAAAGCTGATAAGAAACTGGTCGCCTGTGTCGCCGTCCGCACGCATCTCCATAGATAGAGCGACGGTCCTTTATTTACACCAGCGTTTACTCGAGTCCAAAATGCCACTCAGCAGTCGCAGCAAGGCCAGCGGATCGGTCACGAGAGGTCCTTGCCTGGAATACTCACACGAGGTGAGATCTGGCGAATGGCCCCGCTGCGGCTGAGCTTTGTCGTAAGATCTGCGTACGATATGTTACCGTCTGGGGTCAACATGGTGAAATGGCATGCGACTACCGATCCGATATTCCCCCTGTGCAAAGCTAAGCAGACCCTCGAGCATGTGTTGTCCGTGTAAAGAAAACCCTAGGCCAGGAAAGATACACTTGGTACCACAATAAAGTCCTGTAAGAGTTAGCGAATATTGTGGACCGAACCAGGATGAGGGCCAACGATAGGGCCAGTCCTACCGTCACCCCGATTAGCTTCCTCAAGTCTGTCCAGATTTAAAAAAGGTAAAATTAACAAGGTCGTATACGATCCTTCAATAATTGACTGTGCGAAGGACTCTCTGGAAGACCGGTCTGAGATCTGACATAGTTCTGCACTTTGCGGAAAAACGCCAGCTCTTCCAGATTGAGCTGACCGTGTCGTATAAGTCGCAAATGGACGAAAATCCCTACTACAATTTCGAGAAGTACGGGGATCTCGTCGTCAGTCAGAGAAGAGACTAGGTGTATACAGTGAAAATCCTAACCGTCTAGGTAGGCGCAGCAGGTCTGATCTCCACTTCCATGTACAATATGCTATAGCAGCTGGGAGGAAACGATAGGAATAAACTCACAGGGAGCAAGTACAGCAGGGATCTACCAGTCATCAGTAGAAGTTATCCTCGTCGACAAGTGTTTCGGCCCACGATTTTATCCTACACACTTTCAGGGCTGGTACCCTGCTGCACGAAATTACCAGATGGTGTTTTTCTTTCGGATAGGAACAAGACGACTTGGTGATTTGCAGAAGGTACTGTGAGATAAGAAGTCGTCACGGCAGCCTAATTAAAGCAGTCAGCATACCTGAACGACCGAGCGACAAGCTTACGATTGGTATACCGGACACATGTTTGACTTTTATTAGCCGGTGGCAGAGGATCACTGGCAGACAATTCGGACACGATGGACTTTCAAGGGGTGAGAAACCCTTCTCCGCTAGACACCCGGACCAGCTCACAGAGGCCCGTCCCCTACGTTGTTGCGTTGCGTCCAAAGCCAGCTCGAGGCCCTTTCGGCTACCTCGCCAAGTTTTTGAGTGTACGTTTCCGTTCATTACCGCGCAATCCTAGTTCTTTAACCACATTGTAGAGCGAAGTGGAAACGAGGCCTCTCGCTCCCACTTCGACGGCAAAGACCCGTACTGTGTACGACTCGTTTCTCCTCAGACCGGCTGATAAATCACTGTACTTCTCGAGCTTGTACAAGTGATTCTCCTCCATACGCGACTCAAACGGGACGGTCAACTCAATCAGGATGAGCTGCCGTTTTTGCGCAGAGTGGAGAACTATGTCCGGTCGCAGGCCGGTCTTCCAGATTAACTCAGGGTACCTTTCATGGCCCGGCAGATCAACCGCCAGTAACCAGTCCCTCGCAGAGTCTAGCACAGATGGAGCGAATGCGTTTTTGTTGACCTTACCTTTTTGAATCTGCCCAGCCTTGAGGAAACGAATGGGGACGATGGTAGAACTGGCTCTAGCGTTAGCCCTCATTCTAGCCTGGTCAACAACGGCAGCTAACTCTTTTAGCGCCTTGTTGTGTCGCCAGGTATATCTTCCTTGGCCTAGGGCTTTCCTGCACGCGGACAGGACGTGTTCTAGCGTCTGCTTCGCTTTACACAGCGGGCAAGTCGGAGACCACTTAACCATGTTAACACCGGACGGTAATACATCGTACGCCGAACGAATGATAAAGCTCAGTCGCAGCGGGGTCATTCGCCAGATCTCACCCCATGTGAGTACTCTTGGCAATGCGCTCTTCAGGCTGACCCAATGGCCCTGCTGCGACTGCTGGGTTGCTTTCTGAACCCGAACCTCGTTTTCGTTGTCCCTCGCCATTTGTATTACCATGTCTCGGCGTTCTTTGGCTGAGGCCTTTGACCGCCAATTGACCTTCCCGTGCCCTAGGCCTCGACGGTCGGTTTGTGTGTATCCCATTATCTCCTTCAATTTTAGTGCGTTCTGCGCAGATTCAATCGCATCGAGGACCCTCCACTTCTGCCCAGTCTTTAGATCGGGCTGGACAGCGATGACATTTGGGTCTGAAGACTCGCGCAAGAGCATGGCGAGTCTTACCTTGCCAACTTTAAACTCTTCAGTTATTGATTTGAACGGGAGTACTAGCTTTGCCTGCTTACAATACAGAGCCACGTCGGTCAGACAAGGCGGTGCACCAATCCACTTTCTCAAGGCTGTGTTGATTTTCCTCTCCATGGTTTCCACTGCAGTCATCGTCACCTCGTAGACTAACAGTGGCCATAGGAGCTTCGGAATCAACATGAATTGGAGACACCATACCTTGAACTTTCCGACCAGCCTGCAACGCTCGATCGCAAGCAGGCCTGTAGCCCGTGACTCGTGTATTCGTCGGACCTCCGCTCTATCAGATAACTTCGAATCGTAAACGCGACCAAGGCTCTTCACCGGTTCCTCCAGAGCCGTGGGGATCTTATTCCTTGCCACCGTAAAACTGGTTGCCGCCACTCGACCCTTAAGGATAGGCAGACAAACGAACGTAAACGGTCACTAAAACAACTGGGTGAAGCTGCTGAAAGAGCTGGCACAGGGCGCAACGGAACGTAGTTGGGGGGGGGGGGATGGGCCTCGGTAGACTGGTCCGATTCCCTGGGTGAAAAGAACGTCTGATCCCTAAAGGCGATGTGGCCGATGAATGTCTGCCGGTGTCTCTCTGCTAAATGTCAATGTCTAACAATTGTCCAATGAACCAACTAAAAGCTAGTCATTCCGGTCGTAAAGGTAGTCAACTAATCTAATATTCTACCGCAGCGACGCTATAAAACAAATCTCTTAACACCTGTTAAGTCACTATATCGTCTTGTCCCTATCGAGTCCAATGAATTGCAGGAGGTGAAGATCGGGGCCTGGCTTCATGACCCAGGTCGGCCCACCTTCCTAGTTTTTTTCAGGAAGCAATGGGCCGAAACAGTTGTCAGTGAATGATTTCTACTAATGACCGGTGGACCCTTGCTGTGCATGCTTCAGTGTGGAGTTCTTCTTACTTATTGGTACCCATCGCCTAGAGGCTGTGTAATCCCCAGGAACCGCCCGGTTTAGAACATCGGCTGTGGGCTACAGAGAGTCGCAGATGGATTTGCATCTTCTTATTTGAAACAATCATTGTTTTTTTCTTCATGAAATTAATCGAGTCCTGTGTTTGGGCTCTCACTTTTTTTAATGCACTAAAGCTGCTGTAATTCTTAGGTATTTCAGCTTCGAGTTCTGTATCCTCTTCATAACGTAGTGTATTAATTTATTTTGTGTTGCTGTTGTTGTGTGCGTCATGTTAAAATATTTATTTAGTTCTCTTTTTCTATTTATTCAGTCTTACAATAAAAAACACTCAAAAGTATCTAGTTACCAACAGTCGTACCTTGTGAATGAATGAGAAGGGGTTCAGGTACCAGAACGAGAGGACTTGACTGTGAATGAATGAGAAGGGGTTCAGGTACCAGAACGAGAGGACTTGACTGTGAATGAATGAGAAGGGGTTCAGAAACCAGAACGAGAGGACTTGACTGTGAATGAATGAGAAGGGGTTCAGATACAAGAACGAGAGGACTTGACTGTGAATGAACAAGTGGCTAAAAAACACAGTGAGGAGGAACAAGCTGGTGTGAACGGACGGGAATTTGCTAGGGACACAGCAAAGATAATGTAACCGGAGTGGCTTAACGACATATTGAAGATGAATGGGGTGGAGGTGTGGAAGAGAGTTGCATTCGGAAGGGAAGTGGCTCATAGACACGGTACCTGTTTGACACATTATGCCGGTATATCCCGGCATGCAACCACTTAGACATCTGCCTGTGGTGACGTCACACCGTCGAGAAGAGGAAGTTGCCGTCTGCTGGCAGTTGCTGCTGCACACGGACGTGCAGTTGGTTCCGTACTCCACGGGCTGGCAGGCTGAAAGAGATTCATCTGTCTGAATTACATGTGCTCTGACAAGTAACATAACCCTTGACCCATTATGGTCGTGGAGGTGTATTGATGGAAGCCCTAGCACACACACACACACACACACACACACTCTCTCACACACACACACACACACACACACACACACACACACACACACACACACACAAACACACACAAACGCCATCTTTCTCTCTGTTCGACACGATAAATAAGCGTATGATAACTTAGTCCTGTCAATTTCTTGATGTTGTTATTCCAGTTTCTTCTTTGCCCTCTTCTTCGACTACCTCAGACAAGTGGCTACATCTGTATCCTTACAATACACATCATTTTCTCGAATCACATTTACCACTACAGTTAACAACATCATCGTCATAGCCATCCCTGTGGGAATTACATCTACACTTAACATAACCGAGGTTGTAATTAAATTCTCCAAAAATTTGTGTGTCTTCATCATCATGAAATACACCCGGGCATGTGCACTCAGTGATTTAATGAGTATGATCCGGAGGGTTTAGGCAGGTTGGTTGACACACAAGCAGATACCTCGGAGTACTAAAGTGAATCTCATCAGAACTATTTTTTTGGCCAACACTATGCTATCAATGCCAAACGTGGACACTTACATCTTCCAATGAACGTAAAATTGTGACAACAGAGATGAAATGCATTAGAAGAGCTGCAAGAATTTAAAGGAAAGAGAAAATACGAAGTCACGAAATCAGACGAGTGCTAGGAATAAAGCCAGTCTAACCGGTCATCAAAGAACAACAAATAAAGTGGTTTGGACACCTTACAAAAATACCCTGGTACTATCTGCCAAAGCGAGCCACACTACAATAAAGAATACAGAAGGAGCATATAATGATTTCTTTACTCTTGGTGTCAAGACGAAGAACATTTAAATGGAAATCGTATCTTGCATCCATTGAGTTCACAAGACAGAAGAAAGACAGCGGTTTTGATCGGACAGGGCCTATTTCAGATAAGAGTAAATATAAAAAGACGGCTTTAAAAAAAAAAAAGAAAAGACGGGAAATACCTTTAGGAATTGTTTAACTGAAACAGGTGCTTCTGAATGCAGGAGAATGGCCCAGATAAACAGGAGTTGTGAAAGGCTCAGGGACACAGTAAAGTTGAAGGGGAGTTTGTATAAAGAAACTGGGTGAGATCCACAATAATCTCTACAGCCGAACTATGTCGCGTTCCATTCATATATTTTGTAGATGTCTGCTGTCCAGGGGGTTGGGGGGGGGGGGGAGTTTCTGGCTTGTCTTGCATTTATGTTTTTCTTCCTAAAAAGAGGATGCCTGTGATATAGGTTGTAGCACTCTTTTTGGGGCGTTGTGGGTTAGACCCAGTTTTTAAATGTTTTTGTAGTGTTAAAACCGGTGGCGTGCTTAAATATACAAAACGGGATATGAACGCATTGCCGAACACCCCCACTCCTGGCAGTGTGCCTAGGTCGGGGTATTTGAGGCCGAACAATCAGAGGCGAGCTAGTGTGTACCGTGGGGAGGTTATCGTGAATCACACCATAAACTGTAAAGAGACAGTGGAGTGGCATCAGGATAGAGCTTCGAGGAAAAGACAGCTGTGAATGGACATGGAGTGATTCAAGTGCACAGTACCTGTTTCACACAACTGGTCTTTGTATCCTGGCAGGCAGCCACTCAGACATCTGCCAGTGACTAAATCACATTGTCGAGCTGTGGACGTTCCTGCCTGCTTACAGTGGCTACTGCACTCGGACAAACAGTTGTTTCCGTATCTCCCGGACTGGCAGGCTGCAACAGTTGCATCTGTATGAATTATCTGAGCCCCACGTCGCATTAGCGGCTTAAACATTACCCTTTTCATCTCTCTGATAGAATTAAAATTATCACTATTATCTTGACAATCTTTTCCATCATCGTTGTCAAAATTATACTATTTATCATCATCATCATCATCATCATCATTATCATCATCATCATCACAATTGTTAGCATTATCGATGTCATCATCACATCACTATTACCCTCATCATCATCGACGTCATCAATATCATCATCGTTCCTGCACTGCAACCAATTTAGCAATCAATTTGAGTGAAAGTTTGATCATGTTATTAAAGCATCCAGTATTCAGTCGTCTTATGTCTTTTATTAATACCTCTATTTATTTACTATCTATTTTGTATTTATTATATTCAAACTCCCTCACCAACTATCTATATATGTTTATTCAGTCACTGACATCAATTAACTGTACACCGCTATGTTGAATATATCTTACCCTTTGTCTCAGCCGTAGAATATCTTTTAGGTGTTAACTAATTAATGAAGATCTATATTTTTAAGTATTCAGAAACCATGAGTTGTTAGCGCTTTAGCTCGACACTATAGATATCGCAACATTCCGGCCTTGATTCATTGATAGATACCGTAAATCTGGGAGAAACCTGCCTACCCTGGGGCGTGGACACGGAACACAAGGAGTTCGTCACCTGGTCGCCGCTCAGTCAGGTTTAACCAACAACGCTAGTGAGCCGTTTATTAAGTTGTCAAACATCAATTATCTGTTTAGTCATTCACTGAATTTTATCCTGCGCTCATTCAAACACGTACAATTCTTCTCCCTGAGTTAAAAGCAGTAAGGAGCACTTATGGGTTACTACTCTTGTGCAATAATGTTGATCCATCGTCTAAACCTAAACCGTATGTATGACTTTACCTTCAACAAGACTATATTCTCTTCTCTAATTTCTAGCTTCATTATTGAATGCTGAGTTCAATCACTAAATATTTATTAACTGCTTTTAGGTGTGGCGTTCGCCTAGAGTGCTGGAGGTCCCGAGTTCATGTCCCGGTAAAGGCTGGGATTTTATTTCACGTGAACTTCTGGTAATTTCCCCTGGTCTCTGGGTAGTAAGAACGGACGCCCGTGTGTATTGTTGCGCACGTATAAATATCCATTGACAGTTGTAAATCAAAAAGAGTAGCCTAACGGCGCTGCCCAAGTTAAAATTTGAGTTACAAAATCTACCCCCAAATTATTTGAGGCTCCTCGTCGGTGCTACGAAATTCGTGCAATGCGCTGACATTTTTGGAAGACAGGCTTGACTGAGAAGTAGAGGGGAGCACTGATGGGTTAGCCCCATGTGCCTGACGTTGATCTGTCATCTAACCCTAATCATTAATTTCATACTGATCATGTTTTCGTTCAGTTGCTGGATATCTAGATTTTTTCACGCAGTCACAGAAAATATATCGTCTATTCAACCACGTATGTTCAACCACGTATGTTATACCACGTATGTTCAACCACGTATGTTCAACCACGTATGTTCAACCACGTATGTTCAACCACGTATGCTCAACCCCGTATGTTCAACCCCGTATGTTCAACCACGTATGTTCAACCACGTATGTTCAACCACCTATGTTCAACCACCTATGTTCAACCAACCAGATAAGTTTCTTTGTCTGGATACCAGATAATGGTAGAATTTAGAATTATGAACGAGTCTAAAGTATCTTAACTCTCTGTCAGAGAAAAAGAAACACTGGTAAAAGCCTGTCGTATCTAGTGTCCATTTAGTTAACAAGATAGAAGAGGAATAAACGGCCTTCAGTGTTCAGGGAATTTCAGATGAATGTAAACAAAGAAGGACAGCTGTGAATTAGACTGTTGTATCTTCCAGACACAGTGGAGTAGAATGGATCTATGGTAAACACTGTTAAAAAACAACTGAATGAAGTGGGAGCAACAAATGAGAAATAAAATAAATGAGTTAATCTGAACGGACAGGAAATGGCTAGGGACACATAGAAGATAAGGGACGGTTATAAATAGATAGGAGGAGGTAGGTAGGTAGTTGTACCCCACCAGGACATCACACAAGCGATAAACATCCGGTAACACAATGTGCCATCATGGGGATGAGTATCACCTTGGGAAAGGTCCCAAAAACTCCCTTTATCCGGTAAGCCATATCTATGGCTAGGCCATATTTTTGGCCCCCGTCAGTAGCCAGTGTGGGGCTTTAAATAACAACAAATTTCATCATACATGGGGACGACTTTCGAACTGAAGGAAGTGTTCAGTGTTATAGTAAAAAGAACTGGGCGACTGTGGTTCGAGAAGTGGCTCAGTGACACAGTACCTGTTTGACACGTAAAGCCGGTATATCCTGGCTTGCAGCCAATCAGACATTTGCCTGTGACGAGGTCACACCGTCGAGCAGGGGAGGTGGTAGGCTGCATACAGTTGCTGCTGCACACGGACGAACAGTTGTATCCGTACATCAAATGAGTGCAGGCTGAAACAGTTTCATACGGATACATTATTCCAGCTCCAACAAGTGGCATCAAAAGCAACATTACCATTCTTACCTCTTTCTCGTAATCAGAATTATCGTTAATATACTTATCATCACCATCATCCTTATCTTACTGGTGGTTATTATATCAGCGACCAAAATAATCGAGGTAATTTGCAATTTTACACAAACTCCCACACCCCCCCCCCCTTTTTTTTTTTCTCAGTGATAATAATGGTTCATGTGACCATCGTCAAGCAGTCATCATTTAGTCGTCATTAAATGAAAATATGTTCTGTATTTCAATCTTTGAATATCTTTCATCTGATAATTTGATCACTGAAAACATACTATTATATAATTTTTCAATCATTGAATACATATAATCTATTATTTAATTCGTTAAATATCTATTTCTGTGTCTGCATTCATTCATTATATTTTTTGTCTGTTCATTAACTCGTTGAAGATCTAGTACGTGTTCATTCAAACATTGAATTTCTAATATATTTTAAAATTTTTTGGTAATTTAACGTATATCATGTGTTCATTAAGATACGGGTTGGCATCGTGGAATATAATGCAGACTTAAATGAAACACATGAGACTTTAGAGCTAAAATGCCATAGAAAGCTTCTCTAAATACCACTGACCAAGAAGGAAACAAAAAAACTGACATAAAAAAAAAAAATCTGAACCTAAGGGGCGGTTTCTTGTAATCAGCATATCGTCTGGGAAACTAACATACGCTGGCCATATTCAGGCGCCACGGTCGATTGGAAAGAATTGCAGCAAACGGCACGTGCCAGGAAAGAAGGGCAGAGACAGACTAGCACGAAGATGAGGACAGGGTGTAAATGACATCTTGGATGGGAAAGTATTCGAGGCATTTAAATATCCACTGTGTGTTCATTTCAGTCCCTCAGTATCAATTACCCGTTCCCTCACTAATTGAATATTGACTGTGTGGTCATTTGTAGTTACCTCTACACCTGTCCATAAAATAATCGAACACCTATCGTTTATTCATTAGATAATTTAACTTATTTTTTTGGGTTTCTAAATCACGGTGCAATACTGAATATGAAGAAGACTACCAGGTTTGAACTCGACATGTCACCCCAACAAAAAAAGTGGGGGGGGGGGGGGGGACACAAAAGAAAATAAATAAATTGAGTCGGAAAAGGAACAAACAACTACAAACAGTCTAGACGCGTCTTAGATAAAAGTGAATATAAAGAACTACTGTAAATAGACGGATAGTTTTTTAACGGCACGTGGTGGGGGGGGGGGGGGCGGGGGGGGGGGGGGGGGTCGGGGGGCATAGAGAAGGGAATCAGAATGAAGGAAGAAATTAACATAAACGTACCGGAATTAACTAGTGATAAAGTGGGGGAAAAAATGGCTAAACATAGACGTGGACTAGTTAAGAGCACAATGAAGAGAAACTGGAACATGAATGAACTGGACGTGACTCAAGGACACTGTACCTGTTTCACATATTTGGCCGTAATATCCCGGCATGCAACCACTTAGACACCTGCCTGTGATGAAGTCACACCGTCGAGAAGAGGAAGATTCCACGTTCTGGCAGTTGCTGCTGCACAAGGACGTGCAGTTGGTTCCGTAGTTGCCAGACTGACATGCTGAAACAGTTTCCGCCTGTAGGAATTACCTGTGCTCCGACAAGTTAAACCACCAGCAACATTACCATAGGCACATCTTTCACGCAATCACTGATATGATAAAGATCATTAACATCATCCATCCCTTCGTCATCGGCATATTAGTCAGCGCCCTCACTGAGCATATTTACAACTAACAGTATGGAGTTAGTGATCAGCACCCTTCCCCCACCCCAAAAAAACTTCACACACGCACACACGCACGCACGCTCGCACGCACGCACACTCACACACACACATTGAGCATGCGTGATATGATCATAATTAAAGTAGTCACTATGTGGTCGTTGAATATCTATTACTAGTACTACATGGCAAAACGTACAATAATATATGAGCTGGGGAGCGCAACACGCCATCTTAGAACATTCAGTAAAGAATTCAATTAGGGATAAAATAGAATAGGCTAGCCTAATTAACGCATTAGTACCAGAGAACATCAAAAGTTAACTGGAATTAATTCAATATTAGGAATTAATCAAGTAACAGAAAGTATTGTGAACGGCACTCATAGAAAGAAGTAGAAAGATAGAAGAACACACTAGACAACATAAAAATCGAAAGCTATAGTTACCGTGCCGGGAATTGAACCTGTCACCTCCAGACGGCGTCTGCGCCTCGCCATGAATACAAGTGCACTAAGATACATGGTCAACTCGGCACCCCCAGAATAAGGTGTCTCATTGGCCATGTCTATCGTACAGCTTGAAATCCACGACTATGGAATACGGACAGAATTCATTTCAACCCATTAAAAGGCACCATAGGTTACAGAGATTTATATTAACGAGGCAAATGTCAAATAACAATCACAGCAACAATTTACGTACACAGTAAACCTTATTGCCTTGTCTAGAATACACAAACATTTATGGCGCAGACGCCGTCTGGAGGTGACAGGTTCAATTCCCGGCACGGTAACTATAGCTTTCGATTTTTATGTTGTCTAGTGTGTTCTTCTATCTTTCTACTTCTTTCTATGAGTGCCGTTCACAATACTTTCTGTTACTTGATTAATTCATAATATTTAACGGCTTCAAATGGTTCCCCTCTCTGTTTATTTATAGGAATTTCAATATTAGGCACTGCTATCATTGTTGGTCATAGCAAAGGATCAGCTAGTGAAGCTTTTGAAGTAGCACTAAGCGTCACACTGTATAACAGAGAAAGAAAGCAACTAACGCAGGATGGGCTGTCCTGGGAAAGTAAAGACGGCTGGCGTGATGCTGACCACATTACCCACCGAGTGCCGAATTTGTCTGTAAAAATATGGGTGCTCTTCCCTATGCCTGATGCGCCTAAGGGCGTGTAGAGGGATCTTTACTTTACTTTTTTTACTGAATGAGAGCGGCTAACTATGCCAGACACCCAGCGTCAAAGGCTTTCCAATCCCATTTTAACCATCTAGGAGGACAGACGGCTAGAGATCTACTTAGGCAGTGGGATGGGACGCTTTGATAAATATGAACATCAGAAGGGAACTAGCAAGGGCTCTGGCAGCGAGCGTTAGGTTTGCTCAGCATGTCACAGAAGTGGCACAAGCTAAAACATGGAAGTCATATTTTCTATCTACTAAGTTCACAAGATAGTGGAGAAACAAAACTGTAATCGGGAAGGTGAAGGGGGGGGGGGGGGGGGGGGGGGGTTGTGACGGTAACTCAATGATGAGTATGAAAGGAAGCAGACATAAACAGGAAATGGCTGAGAGACAGAGTGAGTAAAATCCGGCTGTAAATCAGTACAGACTGGATAAGGATATGTTGAGTGTTCCTAAAAGAAGGAAATTTACTCAGAGACACGGTGAAAGGCAGATGATCGCAGTGGTTGGGCAAGCATTGACTCAGACTAACAGTGGAGAAGACGAGTGGATGTAATTTGCTAGAAAATGAGTCTGAGACACAGTAGAGACGAACAGACGCCTGCAAATGGAGGGGAGTCTTTCATGAACACAGTACCTGCTTCACACGTTTCGCCAATATATCCGGGCATGCAGCCATTCAGACACGTGCCTGTGATGAAGTTACACTTCGTAGCAGATGAAGTACCCGTCTGCTTGCAGGTGCTACTGCACAAGGACGTACAGTTGTCTCCATACTGCCCCGGCTGGCATGCTGAAACATTTCCATAGGTTTAAATTATCCGAATTTCAACTATTGGCATAAATAGTATGCCTACAATGCTTCTTACTTTGTCGCAATAATGACTATCATTTGCATTATCAGCATCATAACCATGATTACTATCATCATCACCATCATTAGGTCGAATAACTAAACCAACATAATCGAGGTCGTAATCAAAATGACAAGAATAGTGACATCAATTTTCTGTGTGATTATCATCAAAACAGTCATCCCTCAGCCGTTGAATCTGCGAGGGGAAGTAAATAAGTAGGTCACACATAGATGTTTAAAAAACACTAAGGATGATAACACTTTAAAACCGTTAATGTTGACAGTCACTGCCCTTTATTTTTTCATTAAAAATTCGACAAACATTTATGTACTTGTTCCATCGTTTTAACGGTTCTCTCAACTGCTTCCTGGAATTGCGTGCTCTTTTTTTTTTGAAACCACATTTTCACTTTACTTTCCTATTCTGCATAATTCGCGAAATGTCTCCCGCCAAAATTAGTTTTAAATGGACCAGAAAGGTAAAAATCGATAGAAGCCAAGTCGGGACTGTATGGTGGATGTTCCAGAGGTTCCCAACCCTGATATAACTTTAAAGTATTAATCAGCATTCACATTGTCAAATCTTTTTTATGTTTGTTTGTTATATATATGATTGGAACCTTTCCGTCTTTCCAGACGATAGTGTTATATTGCGCTATGAGGAAGCATGAGACTCACAGCCTTTGGCGATAGCGAGTATGACTAACAAGACCCGCCCGTGTCAAGAAATGTCTTCAACAATGATGGCATTGAATTTCAGGACCATTTTTTTTCAACATTTGTGTTTACAAAGCCTGGCCAGTATTGTAGAAATCATATATTGCCCATGCATAATGACCCCTCCCTCGATCTGCCTTGTTTACTCTAAAGGAAAGGTAAAACCAGCACGTTTGGAACGAGGCAGGTTGTAGAAGCTTCCGGATCAGAACAGCAGTGCTCTATCCTGTCCGCCTGTCGGAGCTTCCTTCCTAGACCAGCAGCCAACCAAGGTGAAGGGTCTGGTTTGCCCTGCCATAACATACAGTTTTCAGGTTGCATTTCCTCTTCCTAGGATAAGGCTTGTTTGCGAAGTTCATCGTGGTCGGTAGCTTATTTCCTGATTAAAATTTTTTTTTTTTTTTTAGATGGGATACCATTTTTACGTGATTTTTCTATACTAAATGGTAAGGGAAAAGGCCTAGAACTGTTTATACAGCTCTGTCGTTGATGAATCTCTGCCAGATGGTGACAACAGTCTTGATATTATGATTGATATCTAAGTGACAAATCTACTAGCAATAATTTAGTTTAGGATACAAAAATGTAACAAAATATTTCATTTAAATCAATTTTTTGATCACCTGTTTTTTAGATTTTCGGTTGTATTGCAATTTGATATGTCATACAAAAATTACCATAAAATCCAAAGCATTAAAATAATTGTTTCAAATAAAGACCACCTGATATAAAATTTAAAAAAAAAAAAAAAAAAAGGCATTTGCATTCTCAGAATAGGATAGAAGTATTGCTGAACAAATAAAAAAAAGTAAGGTAAACACAACATTTTTTATGTCAATGGTCTTCATATATATCTAACATCCTTGAATGTTGTGTGATTTTAATAATATTTTGTTGTGATACTGACGTTAAAATAGTTTAGATTTATTCTATACTCATTTATCTTTAATTTGATATATGTCCCGATGTTTTCTTTTTCGTGTTTCGGTAACAAGATTCCGCTCAAAATCAATGCTGTCCAATCCACAAACAAAATGTGATCCTAGAAGAGTTAATGAGAGTCATGCACTTGGACACTGCATTATTAGAATATCCAAACGGTAGCGTATTCGTTTTGGGGGTGTGAATGCACAAAGTTTGGCTAGGGACAAGTTAAGATGAATGATCGGGTGTGAATGCACAAGGATTGGCTAAGGAACTCAGTGAAGACGAATTAGCAGGTGTGAATGCATAAGGATTGGCTAGAGAACACAGTGAAGACGAATGAGCGAGTGTGAATGCACGAGGGTTAGCTAAGGAAGTCAGTGAATAAGGAGTGGGTGTGAATGCAAAAGGATTGGCTAAGGAACACAGTGAAGACGAATGAGCGAGTGTAAATAAACGAGGATTGGCTAAGGAATGCAGTTAAGAGAACATAACGGAAATGGCTCAGTGACAAACTTAGATGAATTTGCAGGTGTAACCATACAAACAGTAGCTCAGACACACACTAAAACACGGCTTTAAATAGACCGAAAGTGGCTCAAAGACGGAATACCTGTTTGGCACTTTTCCCCGGTGTATCCTGGCGTGCAGCCACCACTGACACATCTGCCTGTGTCGATGTCACACTGTCGAGCAGATGTAGTCCCCGCCTGCTGGCAGTTGCTACTGCACACGGACGTGCAGTTGTTTCCGTACCTTCTGCTAGGGCATTCTGAAACAGTTCCTTCTGTATGCGTTATCTGAGCTCCGACAAGTGGCAGCAACAATATCATTATCTTACTCATTTTCTTCTTGCAATCACAGTTGTGTTGCTCTTATTATTATCATCCTCATCATCAAAATAACTATCGCAGCCACAGTTACGTCTACAGCATAACGTAAAGTATAGGACGATTCCCCACGATTTCAGTTATATTGGCTAGACCCATACATTCTAACTGGCATTTGATTGATGATGTGATCGTTATCAAGCCTGTCGCCTTTACTTTACAGGACTTTACGTGGTACCTATTTAAGGCTGGGTCGACCTAGGCAGCAAAGTAATAAAAAAAAAAAAAAATAGAAGTCCCGCTCCTTTAGAACCTAAGAGCACGACCTTCCGATCAGCAGGCGAACGTCTAACCACTACACCACGGCTGATCCAACTAAATAACGAGGGTGGTTTTAAAGTCTCAAGAATAATGACATAAATTTGTTTCTATGCCATTGAACGTTCATTCATGCATCTTTCATCATCAAAGCATTCCTCATTCAGTCGCTAATACTTACTATTTGTTTCTCCCCATTTGTATATCTAGTTTAAGCAGAAATTAATTTTTCACTGTCTTTTATCGGCTCTCCTAATAACTGACTATCGATTATGTGTTTATTTAGTCTTTTAGTACCCATATATGTTCGTTTAAAGGAGCCTGACGGCACTTCCCGGGCAAAATTTGGAATCTACAATCTACCCCAAGTATTTCAGGATCCTTGCCGGTGCTACGGAGTTCGTGCACTGCGATGAGATTTGTCAGATTCAGGCTTGAGTTAGAAATAGAATTGAGCACTAATGGGTCCCCCGTCCCATGATGTTGATCTGTTGTTTAAAGTAAAATGTATGGGTATATGTATGGGAAGAGGGTCCCATATTTTTACAGACCAATCGGCACTGGATGGGTAATGTGGTCAGCACTACGCCGGCCGCCTTTACTTCCCCAAGACCTCCGTTGTGTAAACCTAAACCTAATTCATTCGTTTGACAATAGCACATCTAATGTCTATCCAGTCAATGATTAAACGTTACGTCATGTCTTATTCAACGGACCAACATCATGGCAAACAGGTGTAACCCATAAGTGCTCCGTTTTTCTTCCAACTCAAACCTGAGTCTAAAGATTCTCAGCGCAGTGCACGAACTCTGTTGCACCCGCGAGGATCCTAAAATACTTTAGGTAGATTTTAAATCAAAATGTTGCCCGACAGCCCCGTTAGTCTACTCTTTTCGATTTCCAACTGCCAAAGGATTTTATTTCCGTGCGAAACGATACTCCTAACTAGAGACCAGAGGAAAATTACTCGAAATCCACGTGAAAAAAAAAATCACACAGCCTAACCGGGGCTTGAACCCAGGACCTCTAGCACTCGACGCTGACACCATGTCTAGAGACCACTCAGCCCCCTCATTAAATATTAACTGTCTGCTTACCAAATTATAGCACAATGTGTAATAAGGAAGAAGTTACTGATTTCTTAACTCACATAGTTAAAAAAAAAATATTGGGTATGGTAGTAAAATCTTGCATGCACTGAGTTCACAATACAGAGGAGAACACTAGGCTGTCAACGGAAAGGGTTAAAATGGACGGAGGGGGTGGAGGGATAGGTTACCTCTAGGACATAGTTAAGAGAAAGGCTGGGGGGATATCTTAAAATGGAAAGGGAGTTTGTGCAAAGAATTATTATTACTAGTTACAAACTCGGGCCCGTCTACACACTAGCTGGCCTTTCATTTATGCTTGCTCAGGCTGGTCAACGTTGCTCAAAATTAGAGGGGTGTCCCGGTGTATTGCTGTATTCACAAAGCTTTCTGCGTTGCGTGTTAATCGTTCTTCTGTGAGCAGCGGCCGACCCCACTGTGTTCTCACTCGTAAGCAGAATTAGTTTTCTTGGTTAGTATATGACAGCCGACTAGGATTTTTAGTAGGACATGATTTTATTCCAGCTGTCAGCATTGGCAGGCGCGAGGAGGCTAGCGCTGTGTTTCTGCAGAAGTACAGCGTTTTGCGGGCCATTGCAAAATTTTAAAAAGTCTGAAACTTCGGGTGTTAGAATGCACCATCTCATGGAACCTAGGTTCATTGTGCAGGGAAGGTGGTGGGTGAGGTTAGGTAAAAATGTACATGTTATGGGATCGGTAAAAGAGCCCACATCCTGCAGTATAGAGCACGCGTGGTCGCCGGCAAGAGCGTCAGTGCAATACAACGTCGCAGCAAGCTGACACCCCTGCCTCTTGAACCTGCCCGTCTCAAAAATTAGGACGCACAAATGAACGTCCAGTCAAAGTGTCCTGAACCGATTTCGTCACTCCAAAGAGGGCCTGAGTTCGTTACATGTTCTAAGAGTTTGTAAGAGGACAAGACAGGGGTGTGGCGAGGGGCTAGAGTGATGAGGAACGGACGACTGTCTACGGACTGTGAGTTGCCGAGTCACAAAGAAAAACGTACGGCTGTGTATGGACAGTAAGTTGCTTGCAGTCACAGTAAGGAAGAACCGAGAGCTGTGTATGTACGGTAATTCGATGAGAATCACAGTAAAGAAGAACGGACGGTTGTGTATAGACGGTAAGTCGTTTATAGTCACACTAAAGAAGAACGGATGGCTGTGAATAGACGTTAGGTCGCTTTTAATCACAGTAAAGAAGAACGGACGGCTGTGAATAGACGAAAGGTCGCTTTTAATCACAGTAAAGAAGAACGGATGGCTGTGAATAGACGGTAGGTCGCTTTTAATCACAGTAAAGAAGAACAGACGGCTGTGAATAGACGGTAGGTCGCTTTTAATCACAGTAAAGAAGAACCGAGAGCTGTGTTGGACCGTAAGTTTTTGAGAGTCACAGAGAAGAAGAATGGACGGCTGAGTGTGGACGGTAAGTTGTTGAGAGTTACAGAGAAGAAGAATAGACGGCTGAGTGTGGACGGTAAGTTGTTGAGAGTTACAGAGAAGAAGAATAGACGGCTGAGTGTGGATGGTAAGTTGTTGAGAGTTACAGAGAAGAAGAATAGACGGCTGAGTGTGGATGGTAAGTTGTTGAGAGTTACAGAGAAGAAGAATAGACGGCTGAGTGTGGACGGTAAGTTGTTGAGAGTTACAGAGAAGAAGAATAGACGGCTGAGTGTGGACGGTAAGTTGTTGAGAGTCACAGAGAAGAAGAATGGACGGCTGAGTGTGGACGGTAAGTTGTTGAGAGTCAAAGAGAAGAAGAATGGACGGCTGAATGTGGACGGTAAGTTGTTGAGAGTCACAGAGAAGAAGAATGGACGGCTGAATGTGGACGGTAAGTTGTTGAGAGTCACAGAGAAGAAGAATAGACGGCTGAGTGTAGACGGTAAGTTGTTGAGAGTCACAGATAAAAAGAATGGACGGCTGAGTGTGGACGGTGAGTTGTTGAGAGTCACAGAGAAGAAGAATGGACGGCTGAGTGTGGACGGTAAGTTGTTAAGAGTCACAGAGAAGAAGAATGGACGGCTGAGTGTGGACGGTAAGTTGTTGAGAGTCACAGAGAAGAAGAATGGACGGCTGAGTGTGGACGGTAAGTTGTTGAGAGTTAAAGAGAAGAAGAATAGACGGCTGAGTGTAGACGGTAAGTTGTTGAGAGTCACAGAAAAGAAGAATGGACGGCTGAGTGTGGACGGTAAGTTGTTGAGAGTTACAGAAAAGAAGAATAGACGGCTGAGTGTAGTCGGTAAGTTGTTGAGAGTCACAGAAAAGAAGAATGGACGGCTGAGTGTGGGCGGTAAGTTGTTGAGAGTTACAGAAAAGAAGAATGGACGGCTGAGTGTGGACGGTAAGTTGTTGAGAGTTACAGAAAAGAAGAATGGACGGCTGAGTGTGGACGGTAAGTTGTTGAGAGTTATAGAAAAGAAGAATAGACGGCTGAGTGTGGATGGTAAGTTGTTGAGAATCACAGAGAAGAAAAAAAGACGGCTGAGTGTGGACGGTAAGTTGTTGAGAGTCACAGAAAAGAAGAATGGACGGCTGAGTGTGGACGGTAAGTTTTTGAGAGTTACAGAGAAGAAGAGTAGACATACATAAATGCACAAGAGGAGACTCAAAGGCACAGTACTTGTTTGACACATGTCGCCAGTATAATCTGGCAGGCATTTCTGACATTTGCCTGTGACGAAATCACACGGACGATCAGCGGGAGTTTCCGCCTCCTTGCAGCTGCTACTGCACACTGACTCACAGTTGTTTCCGTATTTCCCGGACTGGCAGGCTGAAACGGTTCCATCGGTTGAAAAAAAAAATTGTGAAATTTCATGTGGCATTAATAGTATAACATTAAATTACTCATCTTTCTCATACAATAACAATTTCATTGCGATCTTGCTATTATTTGCATCACCTTCATTAATATCATATTATTTATAATTATCGTCATAATCATCACCATCATCGTCGCCTAGATTTTTGGCATTATCAATGTCATCATCGACAGTATTGTTATGTAACACCGTGTAGGTTCCGGGGCTCCACTGTGGGGGGACAACCAAAAAAAGACCAAATGCCTCCGAGCCGCATGAGTCGACTGTTTCAGGGTTTCATCCGAAGTCGGAGTGCATATGCCTGAAAAGCGAGGAAGTCTGCATACAAATTAGAAAGACTGTCAACCAATGTGCATGCAAAACTTAAGTACTGGAACATAAATTGTTGTTGGCCAGAAGTACAGCCAGTCAATGAGAATAAGAAGGTTATCATTATTATCGAAGTTATCATCATCATCATCATCATCAGTGTCATCATCGTCCCAGCAGCACGAACATCCGCAACAAATATAATCGAGGTAGCAATCAAAGCCCAAGATTAATGCCAGTACTTGTTGAGTGATCGTAACTGAAGCATTCATTATTCAGTAGCTGAATGCATGTTATATGTTTCTCCTTTTATTAAAATGTAGTATATGTTTTTTCAGTCGTTGAACATTTTATTGAACATTCACCGACTATATCTAAACATGTTCATTAAATCACTGACATCAATGTCATGTTCACTGCTGTCACATATCACTCCTGTCACGTGCCTGATGTAAGGATTTCTCCTTCAGAACCAGCAGCACTCAGAAATAATTATGTTGAGTCGTTTGGCTCGTATTGGTCTAAGGGATTCCCCGTGGCCAATATACGCTCAACTTATTTCTGGAGTAGGGCAACTCAAGTATTGGCACTATAAAATATTTCAGTATATGAATACAATATTCCTAGGCACACTTGGCTGGACACCCCCACTACTTACTAAAGAAATCCCCCAGGTTATGATAAGTCATTATCATAACCATGTTAACACATATAGTTAAGATTCATACACACACAAATGCTACACATTTAAAAAGGTGAAATAGAGAAACCTAAGTCAGCCATGAAAATGAATGCATGTAATCATTACAACATGTACAAAATAGAAAATAGTGAAGTAGATGTCAAAACACAACAGCTGGATTCCAGATGAGAGTACCTGTTTGACACGTAAAGCCGGTATATCCTGGCTGGCACCCAAGTAGGCACCTGCCTGTGACGAAGTCACACCGTCGAGCAGGGTTGGTGGTGGTAGGATACACACAGGTGGTACTGCACACGGACGAACAGTTGTATCCGTAATACAAGAGAGTGCAAGCTGAAACAGTGTCATATGTATAGTATCTGAGTTCAAACAAGTGACACCACCGGCAGCACTGCTATGCTTATCGATTTTTTTTAGAATAAGATTATCGTTTGTTTGTTTTTTACAATTACCATCATCTACGTCGTCATAATTATTCTTCCCGCAGTATTTAAATCAACGACAAACGAAGTTGTATTCACACCCCCCCCCCCCCTCTTCCCTTTTTTTTCTCCCCCCCCCCCCCCCACACCACTACCCCAATTAAAAAAAATAATGTCAGTAATGTTTGATGTGATCATCATTAGGCAGCCAACCTTTAATCGCTCACTCAATGAAAATCTGTTATGTTTCGTTCAATCTTTGAACACCCCTGCTCTTTTTATTCGATCATTGCATACATACTATATACTCATTCAATCACCGAATGAGCATTTGTTCACTGATTCGTCAGTTATCGATTACCCTTACCTGCATATATTGACTAACTCTATCTTTGTGTGTGTGTGTGTGTTATGTGTGTGTGTGTCTATGAGTGTGCGTGTTCGTATGTACGTGTGGATGTTCATTCACACATTGAAGATTTAGTATATGTTCATTTAAACAGTTAATATTTGCTCTGTCTTCATTTAGCCATTTAACATCTGTTATGTGTTCATTTATCATGGAATGTGAATGCACACATTAAAAGAATTTGGAGGCGACGGAGATGTGGTTCCGCAGATGAATTTCAAGAATCTCATGGACTGCCAGGGTAAAAAAAGAGGATTGCTTGAAAAGAGCTAATGATAAAAGATCTAAATATATGTCTTTAAGGAGTTGAGTTGTGTTAAGAATTGACATCGCAGCACTCGGGGCATTCCCATGCGTGCTCTGTCCTCATCTGCAGCAACCAGCGCAGAGTTCCAGTACTGATGGTACCGGTCACGATATGGTTATATGTCCGTATTGCCCTTCCTTTGAGTGTAGTGAGCCGGCCATACCATCTGGTTGCACCCAGGTGCCTCATTCTCTGCAGGCCAATATAATCCTGTTTCTCTGCTGATGCTGTTGCTTGTTCCTGAAAAGCTTTGACCACATCTGTCTTGTCATGTATCAATTCACCATCCAGTGGTGCAGATCCAGCCAATCTGTCTGCGTATTCATTACCCACCCAGCTGGCATAGCCTGGAGAAAAGATCCAAACTATGCTAACTACCCGTGACCTCCCTCCCCATAGAAGCTTGCCACTCTGCTCGAAGCACAGACCTTTCTCAACATGCTTTCAGTCTGTTACAATTACGACATGTGTATGCATCTTGTTCTATAGCCATCGGAGTGCTGCAGTTACTGCCTCCACCTCCATTGTCATGCATGATGTTGTGCTAGGCTGTTTTACACTAAAGGTTTTCCACTTTCTTTTGCAACGAACCTCCAGGCACTTGCGTGAATTGTCGTGAATCAATTGTAGGACTTCCACCTGGGTAGCACACACTGGCCACTCTCTGCATTTCCGGCCCAATGTGATCATAACCTACACAGGTCAGACTTTTCCTCTAGAACTATGACCCACTCCTCTCCTCGCCTAATGTTCTCCAGCATGCATGCTTGTCTTATTATGCAGTAATCGGCAATGCAAGAATGTATCGCATGCACACAATCGGGGTGTCTCTTGTATATCCCAGGATCACCCGCATTGCTTCAATCTGTATGCATTCCAGTTTTCCGAGCTATTTCTTCGAGACAGTGAGTAACCTCAATCCATAATCTGTATATGTTATTCAGATTTCGTGTCGATACAGAAAAAGGGAGAGGTATAAACCCCGTGCGTATCACCGACCCCCTGCGAGACACAATTTTTCATTTTTTGAAGCTCCACCCTGGCTTTGGTCGGGGGCCCTAATATAACCCAACTTATGAGTTGGACGGGTCTTCTGGGACTGTCTCGTGGGTATCCTAATCCGAACGGTTCCACTTTGTGTCACCTGATGTTTATCGCTCAGTGTGATGTACTAGTATGGTTGAAGGTCAATCAATCGGGCACATGCTTGCTGACCTTTCACACGCGCTAGTCTATGTTACTGGTGTGTCACTTTGTGAAGTGCTCGATGCTTTGAGTATTGTATATTGCTTGTCGTGTACTGATTGTTGTGTGCAGCTGGCGACATTGCGTATATTGTGGCTTTCTGTGACTTAAAGTAGGACATAAATTTATTTAGTCTTTGAGTGTTGACGAGCGACAAGTAGAGCAGTGTTGCTTTTCTGCAGCAAGAGGGCATTTTAGGGACCACCGGAAAATGTAAAGAAATCTGAAACAACGGGACGTAGGCTGCACCCTCTCATGTGACGTTTGCTACGGATGTGGGGCAGGAAGGTGAATGAATGAAGTGTGAAGGATTCTGTGAATAGAAAAGGCCGGCTGTAAATGTACCGGGGTTAGCTAGGAGGGACACCGTAAAGAAAAACATGCAGTTGTAAACATAAGGACAGGCTTATGGATACGGTAAAGAGAAAAGAGAGGATGCGAATGGAAGGAGGCTGGTTTAGAGGCACGCTGAAAACGAACTGACTGCAGCAAAGTGGGGGAAGAAAGGGGAAAGATGGGGAAGGGTGACTCAAGAAGACAGTACCTGTTTGACACATTTCGTTGCGATATCCTGGCGCGCAACCACTCAGACATGAGCCTGTGACAAGATCGCATCGCCGAGCAGAGAAGTCGCCTGTCTGCCTGCAGTTGCTGTTGCACAAGGACGTACAGTTTTGTCCGTACCTCTCAGGCTGGCAGGCTGAAACAGTTCCACCCGTATACATTTATCTGTGCTCCAACAAGGTGACGCATCATTGTCATTCCAATACACATCTCTTTCACGTAATCACAGATATAAACAAGATCATTAACATCTTCATAATCATCTTCATCATTTCCTCTCATTATATTTACAACCAACATTTTCTAGGTCACAGTCAACCCCCGCAGCTCACCCCCGCCCCACCCCCACCCCCACCTTCCTTTCCGCCCTGGCTCCTCCCATTAATAGTAATTTGTGATGTGATAAAATTCAAAGCTGCCAGCATTTACTGTTGAATGTCTATCAAATGTCCAGTCAATCCAATCAATAAATACTCATCGCACCAAGAGGCACATAAGGCGATGGCAAACTGTCGCCATTCAATTGTTGTTGTTGTTTGCGTTCACCAGCTATCAACTCCAGTGCAAAGACCTGGTTGTTCATCCATTTTTAGACTTTAGCTTTGTTCCAGGACCTGAGTTTTGCGTGTGCATCTGTTTTACAGATTTGATTTATTCGTATGCAGATTGCTGGTTCCTTGACTCTCAGGCAGATGCACTCATGCTTCAAAGGAAGCCTCCAGTTAGTCGACTCATACGACATGCTTCTTGTGGAGACAGTGGGTCTATTCTTTTTTCCCCCACAATGGGGCCACTCAATTCAATACTGAGCTATAGCCTCCATCTCCAGTTTTGTCCTTTTAAGGGAAAAGAAATGAAAAGTTCGACCACTTTTTAGACTGTTGCTAGCTAGCCGAGGTTGCTAACAGTCTCCGTCTATATTTGTGGTCTGGTTTATTTGTCTCACTTTCGTGACTAAAATTCTGGTATTTGCGCTGTCTCTGGGTTTTAAGCTTCCCTTCTTCGAATCAGACCGCTGGCTCTCTATCCTGTTGTTAGCTGTGTATTTCTTTCCTTTTCCTTCCTGGTGTTTCCTCCTTGGTTTCAACTCCTTCTGATTTGGCCAGGTGTATTTCGTAGGAGAGCGAGCTTCTATGCCTAATGTCCTTTCGATGACCATTTATTGTTTTCAAATTTAAAATATTTTATTTTGCTAAAATGTACTGAAAACAGTTTTGGGTTTTGGATAGATCCGAAATGTGAAAATTATCCAGCTTGTGGCCATAGCAGTCTTATAGTTGTCTTCCTGCAATAAGAACGGGCTAGTCATGTCTTAGATATGTGTGTGAAATGTTAGGCAGAGCATCCTAGTGATTCTATTCATCGTTTGTAATAGTGTGATCTGGTCGTGTCGGTTTGGGTTAGTAGCTAGGCTTCAGTGAACGTAAATACCATACACCCGGAACACTCAGCTCACGCTTCAATTACTGAATGTTTAATAAATACTCAAGCAATCCTCGAATATATATTAGTTGTTTCTTCATTCGTTGAATACACATTATTGGGTCATTTATTAGTTGACAGTAATACACAGACATAGAATCCTAACTGTTTAACCATTTAAGAACTGCATTTAAAAAAAAATTAGTTATTAAATCATGGTACGATATGAAATACAGAGGAAATCAATGATGTCTCATCGCTACACTAGAGCATTCTGTACAGGTAGGTGTTCATATCGTGTATCCAGGAGTTCACAGAACAGAAGGCACAAATTGACAGTCAACGGTTGGGGTAGAGAGATGAGGGTGACTCAGATAACGAGGAGTCTAAAATGATGTTTGAAAATTGACGGGAAACGCCTCAGAGACTCGGTTTAGGAGAAAAGAAACATGTGTGAATGAACCAGGACCGGATCAGAGCCAGAGTATGGACTAACGGACCTCTTTGCATCGACGGAGATTGCATATGGTCAAGCTTGATGATTCTAAAAAGGAAGTGGCTCAGTCCCGTAACGTACATTTCTATATACCCAGACAAAAAAACAAAAAAAAATCTCAAATACGTTAAATTTGCTGTCCGCAGCCGAAGCTGCCAACAGTCTCTAGTTATGATTATGGTCTGGTTTATTTGCGCCACATGTGTGGCCAGTATTATGGTGTGTGCACCAGCTCTATGGCTGTATTTTTCTTCCCTCTTAGCTACACCACTCATATCTGTCTTTGTCCTAATGTAATCCTTTTGTCCTTGTCTTCCTGTTGCTTTTCCTCACGGTCCCTCCTCCGTCCTGTTCAGTATCCTTATTAACTTGCCCTTTTGTCCTCTACCGTGAATCTAAATCTGTTCCTGTCTATTTTGGCAAGGCGTATCTGGTTAAAGGTTTAGGTTCACGTTAATCTTCTCAAATAGAGTAAGTCACTTTTCATTCACAAGTTTGTTTTGCTGGTCAACTTTTCTGAAGATTACTGATGAGCAGCAGGTTATGTGGGCAGACCGGGTCGCGGGACCGGGCGACCCTTCGGTGACCCGTTGCCGGACAATGGCTCGTTCGACCCAGCGAATCTTAGGGCCTCCAATATTTGTCAGGTGGCTACCCATCCGTGCGCACCCCGGGTGGCCGCGCATTAGGACCCCCATGAGATTGGCATTATTAATTTTAAGTTAGAGAAATATGCAGCGTAATATATACAGCCCGATGGAGCATAAAGGATGTGCAGATAATTTAAACTGGGCTATGGCTGAAGCTGCGGTGAGAGGCCATGAGAACATCGTACGACTGTACCGGGAATGGGGTGCAGATAATTTAAACAAGGCTATACGTGCAGCTGCGTTCGGAGGCCACGAGAGCATCGTGCGACTGTGTCTCGAATGGGGCGCAGATGAATTCAACGAGGCTATGGTTGAAGCTGCAGGTGGAGGCCATGAGAGCATTGTACGACTGTGTTACGAATGGGGTGCAGATGAATTCAACGAGGCTATGGCTGAAGCTGCGGGTGGAGGCCACGAGAACATCGTACGACTGTGTCGCGAATGGGGCGCAGATGATTTCGACAGGGCTTTGGTTAAAGCTGCCGCTCAAGGCCATGAGAGCATTGTACGACTGTGTTACGAATGGGGTGCAGATGATGATTTAAACGAGGTTATGGCTGAAGCTGCGGGTGGAGGCCACGAGAACATCGTACGCCTGTGTCGCGAATGGGGCGCAGATGAATTNCGCTGAAAATGAACTGACTGCAGTAAGGAGGGGTGGGGAGAATGGGGGGGGGGGGGAAGGAGAGGGTTGACTCAAAAAGACAGTACCTGTTTGACACATTTCGTTGCGATATCCTGGCGCGCAACCACTCAGACATGCGCCTGTGACAAGATCGCATCGCCGAGCAGATGAATCTCCGGTCTGCCGGCAGTTGCTGTTGCACAAGGACGTACAGTTTTGTCCGTACCTCTCAGGCTGGCAGGCTGAAACAGTTCCACCCGTATAAATTTATCTGTGCCCCAACAAGTTGACGCATCATTGTCATTCCAATACACATCTCTTTCACGTAATCACAGGCATGAGCAGTATCATTAACATCTCCATTACCATCTTTATCTTTTCCTCTTATTATATTTACAACCAACATAATCCAGGTCGCAGTCAACCCCCCCCCCCCCCCCTTCCTTTCTACCCCAGCTCCTCCCATTAATAGCAATTTTTGATGTGATAATCTTTAAATCTGTCAGCGTTTAGTGTTGAATGTCTGTCAAATGCCCAGTCAATCCAATCAATAACGACTCATCGCTCCCAGAGACACATAAGGCAGAGACAAACTGTCGCCACTCAATTGTTCGTTTAGCTTTCACCAGCTATAAACTCCAGTTAAAAGACATGGTTGTTCGTCTATTTCTAGACTTAGGCTTTGATCCAGGACCTGAGTTTTGCGTGTGCGTCTGTTTTACAGATCTGACTTATTTGTATGCAGATTTCTGGTTCCTTGCCTATCAGGCAGATGCACTCTGACTTCAAAAGAATCCTTCAGTTAGTCGACTCTTACGAGGAGACAGTGAGTATATTCTCCCCCCTCCTCCGCCCCCTCCCCTACAATAGCGCTCCGGAACCCACAAAAGGGGCCACTCAATTCAATACTGAGCTATTGCCTCCATCTCCAGTTTTGTCCTTCGCGTAGCCTTAAGTTTAACCTCACAGGTTCGTCCGGTCAATTTCCGATTATAATTCCTTTTAAAGAGGTTGTTGCGTATCCTTTACAGGACGTTGCAGAACCAACCCTAACAGCCCCTGGCTGTTGTGTGGTTTCTCTAGGCAAATTACGTCCAGTAGTTTGCCATTGCTTTCTGGACGGTCGGCTTTCTTGATACCACTGTCGAAACCAACACAGGGCGCATTGCCCGCAGCTGGGATCGAACCCGGCATCCCGGCATTACGAAGCGAAGTGTTCGCATCGACTTAGCCACAGAGCCGACTATAATTCCTTTTAAGGGGGAAAAAAAAAAAAATTAAAAGTTCGACCACTTTCATACTGCTGCTAGCTAGCCGAGGCTGCTAACAGTCTCCGTCTATATTTGTGGTCTGGTTTATTTGCGTCACTTTCGTGACTAAAATTCTAGATTTGCGCTGTCTCTGGGTTTTATGCTTCCGTCCTTCGAGTCAGACGCTTGTTCTCTACCCTGTTGTTGGTTGTGTAGTTCTGGTCTTTTCCTTCCTGGTGTTTCCTCCTTGGTTTCAACTCCTTCTGATTCGGCACGGTGTATTTCGTAGGAGAGCGAGCTTCTATGCATAACGTCCTTTGGACTACCATTTATAGTTTTAAAATTGTGAGTATTTTATTTTGAAAAAAAGTACTGAAAACAGTTTTGGGTTTTGGATAGATCCGAAATGGGAAAGTATTCCCCGTGTGACCATAGTGGTTTAATAGTTGTCTTCCTGCAATAAGAAAGGGCTAGTCGTGTCTTGGATATGTGTGTGAAATTATAGGTGGAGCCTCCTAGGGATTCTATTCGTCATTTGTTATAGTGTGATCTGGTCGTTTCGGTTTGGGTAGGTAGCTAGGCTCCAGTGAACGTAAATACCATATACCCGGAACACTCAGCTCACGCTTCAATTACTGAATGTTTAATAAATACTCAAGCAATCCTTGTATATCTATTAGTTGTTTCTTCATTCGTTGAATATACATTATTGGGTCATTCATTCGTTGAATATACATTATTGGTTCATTCATTCGTTGATAATACACAGACATAGAATCCTAACTGTTTAACCATTTAAGAATTGCATTAAAAAAAATTAGTAATTAAATCATGGCACGATATGGAATACACAGGAAATCAATAATGTCTCATCGCTACACGTCGCAATAGATCATTCTGTACATGGTGTTCGCATCGTGTATCCAAGAGTTTACAAAACAGAAGGCACAAATCGACAGTCAATGGTTGAAGTAGAGAGATGACAGACAATGGTTGAAGTAGAGAGATGAGGGTGACTCAGATAACAATGCGTCTAAAATGATGTTTAAAAATTGTCAGGAAACGCCTCAGAGACTCGGTTAAGGCGAACAGAAACATGTGTGAATGAACCAGGAACGCAACAGAGCAAGAGTATGGAGTAACGGACCGCTGTGCATAGTCGGAGATTGCATAAGGTCAAGCTTGATGGTTCTAAAAAGGAAGTGGCTCAGTCCTGTAAAGTGCAGGTCTTTATATCAAGAAAAAAAAAAAAAAAAACACACACACACACACACATCTCAAATACGTTCAATCTGCTGACCGCAGCCGAAGCTGCCAACGGTCTCTAGTTATGTTTGTGGTCTGGTTTATTTGTGCCACCTGCGAGGCCAGTATTATGGTGTGTGCACCCTCTCTATGGCTTTGTGTTTCTTTCCTCTTAGCTATACCGCTTATATCTGTCTTTGTCCCAAAGTAATCCTTTTGTCCTTGTCTTCCTGTTGCTTATCCTCATGGGCCCTCCTCCGTCCGGTTAGGTATATTAACTTGCCCTTTTGTTCTCTACCGTGAATATAAATCTGTTCCCGTCTATTTTTGCCAGGAGTTTCTCGTAAGAGGGTTAGGTTCACGGTAATCTTTTCAAATAGTGTAGGTCACTTTTCAATGAAACCAATGAAACAAATTGTGAAGATATTTCGATTGTAATCATACTGGTCTTATGGATGTCTTCCTGTATTGAGAGAAGGTTAATCGTAAAACACTGATGTGGATAAATTGGTGGATGAAGTCTGACAATGTAACTAACATTATGTGTCGTAGTGCGGTTCAGTCGTGGGAGTTTGTATTGGTGGATGGGGTGGGGTGTGTGGAAGTAACAGATTTCACTGAACATTGAACTCAGTGCTCTCTGCAGATTGTTGTAGGGGGAGGGAGGGATATTCTGGGTTGATGTGGGGGAACTTCCATGCTTTAGAACTCAAGTGCTCAAGGGTAAAGATTGTTGTGTGATATGGGGAGAGAAGCGCAAGTGGTTAGACCCAATCTTTTGTGTTCTCAAATAATATTGGTTGTTGAAGGGATTAAAGGGAGTTGGGGGGGGGGGGAGGATTTGACCAGTAGTGCAAAATGAAGACTGTTGGAGGAGGAGGGGATGCCTGGGGAAGGGGGATGAGTGGGAATGAGACTAATCTGTTTTAATCCGGTTCACTTATGATGGTCGTTCGTCTTCACCATTGTCTTGGCTGCCATGTTGGACTCAAGGGCTGGTCAGCAAGGTGGTCGGGGGATCTGCCTCGCATCGCCAGCCAACACCACCTCTCCAACGGGGAAGGGAAGGGGGAGGGGGTAGAGGTTGAGTACTGGTCGTGTCCATATCAGCCCATGTGTTTACCCTATTCGTTTTATTAATTACATTTTTGTAACGTGTCCCAGAGGTCACGTTTTTACACTATGTTTGATTGGAACAAATAACGACCTCAGGCCCAGCTCTGCCCAGGTACACACTTATTTGAGTGACAAAGTCGGGCAAGGACACTGTGATTGGACGTTTATTCATGCGTCTTAACCTTTGAGACGCGTAAGGTCAAGTGGTATGGATGTCAGGTTGGTGCGACATTGTATTGTCTCGACTGTCTTACGGGGGACCATGCGTGTTGTATATAACAGGATGTAAGACTGTCCCTAAAACCAACTCCCTAACCCAGACACTAAACCTAGTTAATACCCCTCTAACGTAGACCAGCTTTACCAAGCATCAATGAACGGTCATCTAGTGCGAAGCTGGGCCTAAGTTCGATACATGTTTCGTTGGAGGAATATGAGGAAAGTTGAGAAAGTGGCTCAGGAATACGATGAGGAGGAAAGGACCGCTGAAAATCGACAGGGATGGGCTCAGGATCACAGCAAAGATCAACAGTCGGCTGTGATTCGACAGGACTGCCTCTTAGACACAGCGAGGACGAATAGATGCCTGTAAACGGCAGGGATTGCTCCAGGGGACATTACCTGTTTGACACGTTTCGCCGGTGTATCCGGGCTTGCAGCCATTAAGACATATGCCTGTGAAGAGGTTACATCCTCGAGCAGAGGAAGTACCTGTCTGTTGATGTTGACAGTTGCTGCTGCACACGGACGTACAGTTGTTTCCGTACTTCTCCGGCAGGCAGGCTGAAACAGTTCCATCTGTATGAATTATGTCTTCCAATAAGTAGCTTCACCAGTCCTATTACCATTATTCGCCACATATTTATAATTGCCATCCCTGTCATCATCAACTTTATGTTCAGCATTATCATTTATCATCATTAGCCTAATTCGTCAGATTTGTCATGCGGCAGTAAGAGCCACGGGTGCATTTAGAGGTAATAACTGAATATACGATAGCGGTTGAGACACAGTGTATTGGTCAGATCCAACTTCTGCCTGAAAGAGGTACCAAGTAAAGTCATGGGAAGTAAAGAAGGTCATTTTGATGTTGACTACATCCGTCATGGAATAGGGATTGGTCTATATGTAGTCAAGAACAAAAAGCCCAGCGAGCCTGGTAATTTTATAAATTTTTTAGACACTTTTCTCAACACATATTCTTTAAAAAAAAAGTATGTGAAAATGAATTTAGCAATGAGGCCTGTTACTGATTCGAATCACTCCCAATTAGAGCCAAATTTATCCTAAAACTCAGAAATGCAGAGCTACTTACAGCAGTGTCTCAAACTTTCTAACTGTGGATGCTACCATCCTACCTCGGGCGCTAGGGGTGATAGGGCGGGGAGGGGGGGGGGTGGTCATTTTAGGGGCTACATTTAGGAGGCTACATTCTGAAATATGGTCCTGAGTCACGACCTGATGGGGGAGGGGAGGAAGGGGTGGGATGGGTAGTTCGACTGAAATGGTAGCAGCCTAATAAACAAGTGTTTTCAAATTTTTCTCAGAGTAGGTGCTACCGACCCCCTTGGGGCTGCTGGTGGCAGCTGAGGGGCCGCATCCTTATAAGTCAGATTTGCTCGGTAGTAAACGTTGTCTGTGTCTGTTATCATTCTCTCACTACGACTTGTTATTGCTCCCCTTTTGTGACGTGACGCGGTGGGTTAAATGTTTTATAAGTTGAGTAGGGATTTTCCTCTCAATACATTCCCTCCACCAGATTAACCGAACTAAAATCCGAGCTATGTTGCTCTCAGACAAAGTCCTGGATATCCAAGAAAACAGCCATATTGGGTCGTTAAGTACATTAACATTAGCTGAACTTGGTACCCACAAGAGAAGGAAAGGAATTTTAGATGTCTATAGCATTATACTGAATGAATTATTAGACAGGGCAAATGATTCCTCCGTCTTCTACCTTCTCCCGGTGTTATTATGAATAATTAAATAATTATTATATTATTTGAGCCCCCACCAAATGTAATTCTATCTATCAGTTTAGTTAAACAGGTAAGACTGAATACACTTGGAATTTAACAAACGATGTAGTATAAAACTTGACAGACAGCTTTATTTACTAACAAACAAGTTAAATGACATGCCCAGTTTGTTGTGTTTACACAAACAGTGACTGGCCAAAGTTATGATAGTGATGAGATGCTTCAGCGAGAAAACAGCTCTGGGGTTTAGAGTGGTGTGATGAAGGTGATAAGGTATGAACAATTTATGACATAACTTAGTTGTCATAGAACCTCTGACAGCCGTGAGCACTGTCAAGCTCTTCCTCCTCTTCCAGCTTCTTCCCTGCTTGTTTTCTGTCTGTTTCAGCTCAGTCTCCACTTCATTCTCCACCTCGTTTTCCACCTCGTTCCCAGCTGGCCGAGTCTAACACAGTGTAGTCTCCTTCATGAACTGATCGTCACATGGGCGCTGTAATCATGGAAACAAACACATACGTGTAGTATCTTGACTTACACTAAGAATACATGTATTAATTAATATAACATATAATAATAAAATATATCCCATCACTCCTCATATTTGTCGTGAAATGATAGTCATTACGCATCGGTCTGTAAGGCTGATAACCTGTCTTACCTGTAATCTGCACAAAATTCAAACTTGGACTCGCCCAGAAATATATAGTCCCTTATATCTATATATATAGGCCTGTATTGGACAACATTATTATGTCTGCCTTTTCTGGTTACTTTAACTAAACTCCACTTTTAAATGTATATTTGCCAGCTTCTCAAGCCTCCAGATGTGTTAATCTGTGCCTGTATACTTTAAATTTTCAAGGCAATCTGGAAAGGTCTCAGTTTTTACATATGCTTGGGTAAGTTAATTATAGTTTACGAGTACCTAGAATGTTGTCTGTAAAGTAGTCACTGCTGTAGAGAAATCCATATCGGCTGTGTGATCTCACTTAGTTCTACCATTCTTGATCGCTAGAGTAGCGGATTCGAACGTAGATCTTCCACTGTACAGACTAAATAGCTTATGCCCTCAATAAACCACCCATACTGATAAACATTTAATGCCCTTACAATTGTGTACGTTTTAAACTACTTACAGAATCTGTACATACGAGATGGGGACAGAATTGGGTCAGGGCTGTGTTAATCAAAGTATGTGTGTGCTTGACCCAGATCAATGAGTGCTGGGGCGGTTGGGAAAACTAGTGAATGCAGGTACTGACAGTAAATATTGGTGTTTGTGTGCAGAGTGAGGGGGATGGGGGAGATGATATATGTGTTAGACCACTTTATCTATCTCCACTGCATATCTGACTTGCCTTCTCTTGCACTAGACAGATAAATATAGGAGACTTATGTCTTTTGGTCTGGAGAGGCAATCTGAGGAATGAAACAGGAGAGCAGGGAGGAGTCAGCAGATGGGAGTTGATGACTATGCTTGCTCTGTCTTTCCTGTCAAGATGTTACCCTCTTGATGATGACTAATGTTGAGTTATTTTCTTGACAGGATGTATATTTTCTGAAGAGCTGGCAGAAGATTCACAGTCTCAACAACATCCACCCACCAATCCAACCACCAGAACCAACTTGTTACCCACCAGCTAACACCTGTGAAGGTTCCTGACATCTCCAAAAATGGGGGAGATTGTGCCCTCAAACAGCTACCAGTGCCAGAGTAATGTGGCTCTAAGACATTGTGTGTCCTTACTGGTGATATAGACATGCTAGATACCAGTACAGTTGCTGTACAGTGAAGTACTCTTGCTACTTGATCCAGTGGAGCAGAATTCCCAGAGTCAAAGACAGTCAAATCATCCGGAGCTGAGGGAGGCATCATAGACAGAGATAAGAGAAGATAAGTCTAATGCTTCGCATGATGTTGTGTTCCTCACAGCTTCCTGTGTCCAGTGATGAGAAGATGTCATCTCCAAGACCTTCTGTCTGTGTAGATCCTAGTGATTTGGACATGATTTCCTGAGATCTGGCAATTTGTCTCACTTTTATAGATCTAATTTATATTGATTATATACATTCATTTTCATGGCTGACTTAGGTGTCTCTATTTCACCTTTTTAAGTGTTTAGCAGTTGTGTATGTATGTGTATCTTCTTTATATGTGTTAACATGGTTATGATAATGAACTATCATAAACCTGGGGGCTTTCTTTAGTAAGTAGTGGGGGTGTCCAGCCAAGTGTGCCTAGAAATATATATATATATATATATATATATATTGACATATTTTGTAGTGCCAATACTTGAGTTGCCCTACTCCAGAGATAAGTTGATCGTATATTGGCCACGGGGAATCCCTTAGACCAATACGAGCCAAACGACTCAACAAAATTATCTCTGAGTGCTGCTGGTTCTGAAGGAGAAATCCTTACATTAGGCACGCGACAGGAGTGATATGTGACAGAACAACATATCCCCAAAAATCTGTGGTCTCGTCGTGGGATTGTTTTGTACACTGTTCAATCTTTAAATTTGCTGGTGATCTTGGCCAGGAGTTGTTCAGTGTTTGTTTTTTGTAACACAGTTGTGACCATTCTGGGTCAGTTCTTAGAGTATACTCCTAGGAGTGATTTGTAATCATTGTGGTGTTTTGTGGTGTGTCAAGTACATTGGGTTAGGTACAACCTTGGTTGGTGGTGATAATTTAATCTATTGTTGATTATATTTACATTGTTGGTGACAATATATTTTGTTGTGGACTGTTAGATTGACAAGACAGCATGTCGCAGTCAAAAATTTCCATACAGGAATTGAAGGACATGGCTGTCCAGATGGGATTGGAGGGTAAAGAAATGACCGAGTGGATTAAAACCACGGAACGTGAGATGAGGATGGAAGCCCGTGAGGCTGAGAGACTCAGAATTGAGGCAGAGAAGGAAAGCGAAAGACTCCGAATAGAATCTGAGAGGGTGCAAGAAACTTCAGGATTGAATCTGAGAGGATTCAAGAAACTGAGCGCCTGAGAATGAATCTGAGAGACTCCGAATTGAGTCTGAGAGGGAGTCAGAAAGAATGAAGTTGGAACAGGAGGTGAGGTTAAGAGAATTGGAACTTCAGGCTCAGAGAGAGGGTAATAGACCCAGATCTCCAACACCTGATATTGATGGTGCATCAACGCACAGTAGCTCAGCTCAAGCGATGAACTTTCCTATGCCAGTCTTCGACCCGAAGGCTGAAAATATTGAACAGTACCTAGACCGATTTGGCAAATTGGCATCTTTGTACAACTTGGAAAGGAACATGTACACGCTGAAGTTGGCTCAAGGTTTGAGGGGTGAGGCATACGAGATTTATCAACGGATGCCCACCGGTACTGAGACTGATTATGATGCATTGTGTCAGGCTTTACTGAAACGTTTCGAACTTAATGCTGCGACATACAGACAGAAGTTCAGAAATGAGAGAAAGATGACAGGGGAGAACTATCCTCAGTTCGCCAGTCGCCTTCAGGGATATTTGACAAGGTGGAGGGAAATGTCTGGATACTCCTCTTCTTTTGAAGATTTACAGGAGATGATCCTAACGGAACAACTCCGAGAGACATTACCTCGACCTATGCAAACCTTCCTGACGGAGAATGGTGCTGACAGACTGAGTGAGATGTTGATGTATGCTGAGAGGTATGAGATGGCACATAAAGAAGTGTGTATAGGTGGGAAACCCAAGGCCCAGGGCCAAGGGAAAAATAATGGTAATGGTCAT